GGCGCCGCCGCCGGCCCGCTCCCTCCCGGTGCCGCGGGGGTCGTGGCGCCCCCACCTGCAGCGCGGCGAGCTCTCGCGTCCAGCCCTCTGGCGTTCCCGAAGGGTCCCCGCCCCGGAGAGAGGAGCGGTCCTCCCGAGACCGGCCCGGCCGGCCCGGCGGTGAGATGAGCTTCTTCGGCTTCGGGCAGAGCGTGGAGGTGGAAATCTTGCTCAGCGATGCGGAGAGTAGGAAGCGGGCCGAGCACAAGACGGAGGACGGGAAGAAGGAGAAGTATTTCCTCTTCTACGACGGGGAGACGGTCTCCGGGAAGGTGAGCCTTGCACTCAAGAACCCCAACAAGCGGCTGGAGCACCAGGGCATCAAGATCGAGTTCATCGGGCAGATCGGTGAGTGGGCCCGGGCCTCCCTCCGCAGCCGTGCGCCGCGCCAGGGCGCCGATCGCGGGGGGCGCGGTGAGGCCGGCCGGACCCGCGTCCACTGCGTGGCCGTCTTCCCTGCCCGAGGGACCGTGACCGCGAGGGGAGGGGGCGCTGAGGGCACGGGAGCACGGGGAGCGGCCCTGCGGCGCGCGTCGTGCTGGGCACCTTGCCCCGGGACCCTCGTTTCCCTTCAGCATGCCGCCCAGCTTTGCTTCCTGCCTTCAGGATTTCGGAGTGAGATGGTCCTGCCATAGCCTGCAGGTAGGTTTGTTAGGGGAGACTGTTCTTCTAATACTGCTTTTACCGTCGCCTGGACATCCAGCTGTCAGGCCCAAGTTAAGCTGGTCCTCGGTGCCGCGCTTCGCTGCACTCCCATCCGCCTCTTTTTCTTTTAGATGTGATGTGGGAGGGATAGCTCACCATTGTCTCATATCTCACCTTAGCTCTGCACTGTCTGTCCTTGTACATGTGTTGAGAAAGCAGTCTGCAGTCTTCAGCCTCAGGCTTGCTGTCTACCTAGACAGTATTTTTAAGACTTCTTTATTAAATGCTAATTTTCAGTTGACTCATTTTCTCCTTAAAGACAAAGAAGTGCTCCTAAGACCAAAATTAAGTGATCAAAATTTCTCAGGGGTCTAATGGTTTTTAAACATGGTTATTAATAATTAGACCTAGATAGTTAAAAGCAGTAAATACAGAAGATTTGGGGAACTACCAGTCAAGTCGGGGTTGTCTCCAATTCTAAGACTATTTGGAGCTGTGTATTAATTAAAACGCTCAGGTATTTTTGAAATAAATTGTTTTTGTCATTAGGTCAGGAGTAGATTCACAATAAATACTTGTGTGGGCTGAAAAAACCTCTGGCAGAGAATTTGTACCCTAAACCACACACTGCATGTTATAACCCTGTTTTTAGGGACTTCCTGGGAAAGCTCATTTCACCTTCTCTCATATCCTGAGAGTTAGCCAAGAATCTGTCCTCCCCCTTTTACAGAGGCAGGAAACACTGGCACAGGTAGGAGGGACCTGGAAAAAGGAGTCTGTGTAGCCTGTCTCTGCAGTCCAGTGCTCACCATGAAGTATTTGCCTCTGGTATTGAAGACAATGAAATCAGGTTAAAGACTGGCAGATCCTATAGGAACCTCTTTGTTGTTAGTTTAAATCCAGAATATGAGTGGCTTTTTATGTACCAGAAAGGAGGCTAATGAGTGAATTCCATCCCTTCTGCTCCCCTGCTTCTAGCTGAGATACAGTTTCTCAGCGGCAGTGCTGTTGACATTTTGGGCCTGATAATTCTTTGTTGTCGTAGGATGTTTAGCAGTGTACCCAGCCTCTATCCACCAAATACCAGGAGCACTCCCAAGTTGTGACCACAAAAATATCTTGAGATATTGCCTTATGTCCTATGGAGGGTAAATCACCCCTAGTGAAGAACCACTGGGTAGATTGGATGACTCCAAAGCATTTTATGCTAAACATAATAGATGAGATAGTTGAAAAGGCCTTTCCTACTTAGAATTAGTATTTTCAAGTAGTAGTTTCGAAGTGATTGCATGGATTCTTTGGCTTTGTAATATGATTGTAGACAGGCGCGTTTAGTTTGTGTCTATACCATCACTCCAGGTGGTGATACCTCATAAGTATGTGAAAGACAACCAGAATGTCACCTGCCCTAGCAATGTGAAATGAGCTGTTCAGGGGCAATGGCGTTCAGGCCTCCCTATAGTCTAAATGAAAGGGAATTGAGGAGGCTGCTTTCTGTACCTGCCCTGCCTGGTTTCTTGTCCAACCCCTTGAATCCCAGGACAGCATACCTGCTGAGTTTTCTCAGAACCTTTTATTGCTTCCATTAATAACTCTTCCTGGGCCCCTGAGTACTGTGGGCTGAGTTGACCCTGTGACTTTGGGGAGGCTGAGCCCCTCTCTGAGCCTCAGCTTTCTCACCTGTAAGGCAAGGATAACAAAATCACCTTGTGAGAATGTTGAGATGTCAAGGGATCATGCTTTGTGCAGAGTATGATGTATTTGTGTCATATACCTAAGACAGTCTGTGAACTGACCTCAGGGCACCAGAGCGAGGCTAGTGAGGAACTTTGTTGAAGTTGTGGTCGTGCGGTTTTCCCCTTCATCGCGTTCTTTGACTATGTATGAAGTGGGTGGAACTTCGGTCAGGTTCTGAGGTTTGGCTGTCTGGGTGACATACAGTATGGATCTTGCTGAATTGGGGGTGAGAAAGTTAATATCATTTGTGCTCTGTCCACCTTCCTCATTGATTTCTGTTTTTTTTTTTTTGTGAGGGAGATCAGCCCTGAGCTAACATCCGTGCTAATCCTCCTCTTTTTGCTGAGGAAGACCGGCTCTGAGCTAACATCTATTGCCAATCCTCCTCCTTTTGTTTTCCCCAAAGCTCCAGTAGATAGTTGTATGTCATGGCTGCACATCCTTCTAGTTGCTGTATGTGGGACGCGGCCTCAGCATGGCCGGAGAAGCGGTGCGTTGGTGCGCACCTGGATCCGAACCCCGGGCCGCCAGTAGTGGAGCATGTGTACTTAACCGCTAAGCCATGGGGCCGGCCCTGATTTCCGTTTTAACTCAAAACTTTTCTTCTTGTAAACCATAGTCTCTTGGATTAGGTTTTTTGTTTTTCGTTCCGTTCTTCCTGGGAAGAGTTCCACAGCTTGAAAATGAAGTGGTTTATGTAATTAACCTTTTTATCCTTGTGATTAATTTCTTATTCTTCCTGATGAAAGTGTATTTGTCCCACCTGTGTATTCATTAGAGGGACAGCCTGGTATGTGATTGAGGGTCAAGCAGACTGGGTTACTTAAATTAGATCAAGCTCAGTCTATGACAATACAGTCTTTGCTAGCGTCTTGTGAAGACTAGAGATAACATACATGAAGTGCAGGGCTTGGCACACGTAGTAGGTACTCAGTAAAAGGGACTTAAGATGATCATTGTCATTTTCTCTTTCCCTGTTATGCTTGATCCATCAAGAAGTTTCCAGGGGCTAGATCTTTAAAACATGTCACCTTGCAGTCACTGCTGATTCCTGTGCAGACTCTCCATGGGAAATGTTTGCACCAGGTTAGCTTTCCCTTTGGTCTACTTGTCTGCCTTCCCACATTGCCTTCTTTTTGTCTTCTCCTGGAAGGCATGCTAGCCCAAGTGAAACCTTTGTGGAAGGGACTCTTACGGAGTCCTTGCACAGACAGTTGTTTGGTTATCTGTTGCACTGGACTTCTTTGGACCGCTATTCCTCATACTGACCCAGAGCCTGCTCAGAAAAGCTCCTATCTTGATCTTGGTTTTGGAGGTAGGCAGGAAGAGGGGTAACTTTTGTCCCCTGTCCCTTCTCACTCTAACTTGCTCTGGCAATCTCATCTGTACCCATAATGTCAGTGTCTTCTTATATTCTCGTGACTCCCAAACTGTTTCATTATCTTGACCTGAACTGTCTTCTGAGTTCCACGTCTGTGTTTCCAGCTGCCTGCTAGATGTCTCCACCTGGATACCCCACAGGTCCCTCAAAGATGCATCTCAAATCCCTTTCTTTTTTTGCTCCAGCCCCAGCCTGCTGTACCTCCTATTTCCTCCATTCTGAGGCTGAGGGCCATTCAGCATCAGAAATTTGGGAGTCCTCTGAGACCCTTCATTCCTCCTCTCACACGTCCAATTGGCTTCTACATTTTGGTCCTCTTCAACAATTCTATAATATATCTTAAGTCTGTGCGTCCTCTCCATTCTCAATGCTACTGCCCTTATTATTTCTGTTTGCAGCAGCCTCCTAACTGGTCTTCCTGCCTTTATTTTCCTCTTCTTTCAGTTCATCTTCTGTGAGAGTGAACTTTCTAAAAGGCAGATCTAACATTGTTAGTGCCCTTCTTAAAATTCTTCTCATCGACTCCCTATTGGTTAAAGGGAAAGGTGTATCCAGCTCTTTTCTGAGCTGGCCCTGTGTTTCTCTCCACCCTCGTCTCTCCCTAACCCTTTGCTTTTACCACTTGTAGTTTCCTCAAGGTATCACGTTCCTTCTAGTATCTTGGCATCTTCCCTTTGCATGTGAACATCTTTCTGAAAGGCGTGACCTTCCACGCAAGCTCTTACTCATTCTTAAAGCCAAGCAGACATGACCTCCAGCAGAAAGCCTTCCCTGACCTCCCCAGGTTGACTTAAGCACTTCTTCCCCTGTTCTTCTAGAGGCCTCATTAGTATCTCTTTTCAAGCAGGATATGACAAGCTTGTGACTTTTTTTTTTTTTTTTTTAATTTGTCTGTCTCCCTCATAAAGTTTTGAGCCCCTGAAAGCCAGGGCCTGCCTCCATCCATTGTCAGTCTGGTGGCTGATCTCTCTTCTCAGTGGCTAGCACCAAGTAGGACCTCAGTGACTATTTGCTAACTGGATACTCTGGTCAGCTCTAGGAATTTACAGAAGCTATTCTCTGGCGTTTTTCCCTCATCTCCTCCTAGATAAACCAGTTATTTTAATGAAAGAGAGGGAGAGTACAGGTTTGCCTTGCTAAGAGCCCGGGCTTCCTGCTCGTGCTTGGGCAGAGGCATTGACGAGCTAGGTGCAGCCTTACTCCAGGCCACTGAGAACCATGATGACTCACCGACCAGCATGAACTCGCTTGTGCAGCGTCTTCACTGGGAAACGTGGGTGAGGAAGCGAGCGGTAAAGCTGGTGTCAGTTCACTTGCTCTTGCATCTTTCTTTCATCACACTTTCTTATGCCAAGCTAAGGCTGATTTCTGCCTGTATATAAGAAAATGAGAGTTGTCGGACCTGTGGTCCATTCAGGTCTGCACTGACGCTCGGATGTTGCAGTTTAAATTTGCCCCCTGAGAGTATAATGTCTTACTTCACCTGCGTTGTATCTGTTTTTCTGTTATCCTTGAATATTTTTGAGCCACGTTGGGACTCTTCCTGCACCTAGTGTACTTTTTCCTATGGCTTAGTCTGTGTTCTAACAGTGCCAACAAATGTGTGTTGAGGGCATCTCCCATGTCACTCTAGCAGCTAATGTCCCACATTTTTAGAACAATGCAATGTGGTATGTAAGGAGCATTAAGGGAAGTTCTATAATAGAAGAAGGAGAAGATTGAGGGGAGTTCTGTAACAGCAGAAGGAAAGACCATTTTTCAGCTGGAATAACTTGGGGAACACTAACAGAGGATGTAAGGCAGAGCTGGGTCACCTTGGAGACTAATGGGGTTAAATAAACCAAGGGTAATTAGAAGGTCAAACTTACAGAGGAAGGCAGACATGAATACCCTGCCCTCTGAAGGCAAATAGATAATATCTGGATTTTTTAATTTTCTAAAAGTAATGCCACTGAATGTATCTATCAGCACCAATCAAGTTTGTACTTCTAAAAACTCCACAGGCTTTCTGTATTTTAATTCATTAACCCATGAAATGCTTAGTAAGAGTCACATTGAGATTAAATGGATTAATTCTGGCCGATTAATAAGTTGTTGCAGGGCTTGGGGCAGAACTGCGTCTTGCTGGGTGCCGCAGCCCAGAGGTGTTACTGCTTCAGCAGGTTTCTCAGGGTCCAGGAGATCGCATGCCGGTGGTGAGCACGAGTCTTGGCTGGGTTGCCAGTCAGCAGACAATGGATGGGAAAATCCAGATGAGGAGACGGCTCTTTGGAGGTCTTTTTGCTCTTACTGACTTAGTTTCTTCCAAGACCAGCATGAAGCCTGAACCAAACATGGTCCTGGCCCAGCAGGAAATCGCAGGGCGTCTTTCACAGCGTGACCCTGTGGTGCCAGGCTGGCTCAGTTTTATTCCAAAGTGGCAAATTCACTCCTCAACCGTGGGTGGCAAGTTTCACCATGAAAACATCTGACTACAAAAGTCATTTCCTCCTGTGGACTGAGAAGGAGGCTCAAGACAGGGAAGTTACCTTAACAAAACAGTCGGTCAGTTCCTGCTTCTAGCTTGAAATGGCTGGTCCCTGAGGGCTTTGGAGGTTGGGGAGAACTAGAGATGACTTGTGTGTGCGTCTTTGGGATAGAGTAGAGGCAGTTTACAGTCTCTTTAGGGCCCAAACCTCTTGCTAGAATAGCTTTGGATTTTCTGTTTTAATTTATGTGAGAGGAAACCACACTTTCTGGCAAATAACAAAGTATGGCTACTGTTTCTGCCCCTTTGCCCAACAGTGTTTGCAAAAGCATTACAAATGACTTGTAAGTTATAAATTGAAAAGCCCAGTCCAGCCCCACTCAGACTACACGCTGGCTACTTGTCCATGACATCTGATGTAGGAGCTGATATTAACATGTGTCCAGCAGGAAAAGCGTTAAGGAGAACGTGATGCTATGCAGGGGAGGACCTCTCCTGCTGAAGGTCCCGGCCGCAGCCAGCTTCCCCTCCTGGGTCAGGTGGACCGTGGTTAGGATCCTCGGATGCTGGCCTGCCTGCTCTCAGAGCGCTCTCGGATCCTTCTCTGTTTTGTTTCTCATGTTGCCTTTGGGTTGTGTGATCATATTTGTGTATTTTTCCATACTTCTCTTCCCGTCTTTCTCTTGACTCTGGGATTTCCCACTTAAAGTTAATGGACACTGGGGCCTTGCTCTGCCTGCTTTTGTCTCCTGAAACTATGGCCAGAATCCAGTGCTTGGGAACTGAGGCACCAGGTTCCCCCGTTAAGGGATCACTTCCCACGTAGGAGCCAGGACCATCAACAAGGGCTCATGCAGCAGTGGACCAGCAAGATTAAGTGAGGAGCCCTAGGCACAGGCTGGCGAGCGGCTCTGTTCCTACCCAGTCACTGTACTACTTTACTTTTATTGGGGGGCACAGTTATTGGATTTTAAAACCAGCAGTTTTAAAACTTACCTGATCATTTCCCTGCATAGTTTGCGACTGTCGTGCCCCGTTTGGTGGCTTTGTGGATTATCACTGGCTATCCAGAATGCTGCCCACTGCTGATTCCATTGGAATCACTGCTGAGGAGAAGGTGGACCGTTTGTAATATAAGGTGGATCAAAGTGTAACTACGTAGGAAATCAGCAACAAGCTGTAATCACAAAATACAGAGTACATTCGTACAGAGGTGGCGGCACTAGTTTGGATTAACCACACTACTGCCACTGTCACAGCTGGATAAATCTTAAGACAGGGCCCACTTGGCTTTAGAATGCCTCTCTGTCTGGGGGAAGAATGTTCCCTGTGAAATAGGTTTGTCAGGGCCAGCTCTAGGGCAGTAAGGGGTTGATTTTGCACCCAGACTGAAAGCACAACCTGACCCCATTTTCTCCTTTTGGGCATGGGTCTTCCCCAGGGCAGTGCTGGACACTGCGTTGGCTCTGGGGAGGCAAGAGGTCTGGTTTCTTGGGCCCAAGAAGGCTTGGGTCCTTATTGGGCTCAGACCTTATGCTGTCTGGGTGGACCCAGAGCAGGTACAGCTCTGCCCCACTGCCCCTGACACTCACGTTATCCCTGAGAGAGATCAGCCTGCTGTCCTCTGGCGATGCGGGACCAGGCCTAGTGGGCGGTTGTCCCAGACACTCCTTTCTGTGGACCTGTCTCTTTGTCCCCAAGCAGCCAACAGCAGAAGCAGCGAGTACACTCTGCCTGCTCCGTTTTCCCAGTTGGTCTGCCCTGCTGCGGGGTGCAGCCTAGCGTAGGCCTGGAGCCCAGAAATGCCCAAGGCAGGGTACCTTGACCGATGTGGCCATGGATAGCCCCAGTCAGTATAAAGCGTCCCTGCCACATAGCCAGGTACTAGGGGTGCCAGGAAGCTGGGCCTGTAGGCCTTCTCTAAAGACCACGCATGTAGCAGAAGTTAACGCTTAAATAGCACAACACAAACAGACATAAAGTAATATAGGACAGATGGTGGCACCAACTTATAATAAAGAAATACTAGAACTATTGCCAGAGGAGGATGAATTTAGAGCAGTGCTCTTCAAAGTGTGGACTTTGAAGCAGGACCAGCATGCCCTGGGAGCTTGTTAGAAATGTAAATTCTTGGGCCCCGCCCTGGACCCCCTAAATCAAAAACACTGGGATGGGGCCCAGCAATCTGTGCTTTAACAAACCCTCCAGGTGATTCTGATGCTCACTGAAGTTTGGAATGACATTAAACCTCTATGTCAGAATGGCCACATGGATGCCTTTTTGAGGGAGAGTAGCAGCTAACAGCTAATGTTTTGAGCATTTGCTATCTGCCTGGTGCTATTGTAAGTCCTTTCCCTGCATTACCTCCTCTCTTCCTCATAAAACCTTATGAAGTGGGTTATGTTCATACCCCCGTTTTACCAGGTCGTAGACATAGACACAGTCCAGCAGGAGACCTGCCCTCAGCTCAGCTCTGCGACCAACCCTGTGGCTCTACGCCAGTCATTTAAGCATGCTATCCCTCAGTTTCCTTATCTCTTGAGTGAGTGATAAGGCCCATCCTAGCCATCTCACAAGATTATTATAAGGAAGATATGATTAAATAACTGTGAATATGCTTTCAAAAGTTAGAAATATTTTTAAAAATGTGTTTAGAGAAGTGTGGTGTTTTTGATCGCGGTTCCCCTGATGTGCCCCTTGCTAAGGTACTGCCCTGAGATCCTGGAGCAGGATTACATTGGGTTATGACTGTGCCACAGGATTTCGCTATATAAAACAGGAGAGTGTTTGGAAAGGGGGAGGGAGACAGACCAGTCTATGGGGAGTACAGGGAACGAGTCGGGTAGGAGAAGAGGGGAGTCAGAAACAAGGCTGGACGAGGTCTGTCTTGGAGGGAGGTCTTTCAGAAGCAGGGTTCCTGCAGCCTAGCTCCCCTTGCTAGGCCCCGTGTGGCTCGGGGTCTGGTAGAGGAGGCTGATGCTTTCTCCCCAGAGCTCTACTACGACCGTGGGAACCACCATGAGTTTGTGTCCCTGGTGAAGGACCTGGCTCGGCCCGGAGAAATTACTCAGTCACAGGCCTTCGACTTTGAATTCACCCACGTGGAGAAGCCGTATGAGTCCTACACGGGGCAGAATGTGAAGCTACGGTAAGTTGTGCCTGCTGTTTAATCATGTTGCCCCAGAAGCTCCCCCATGTGGGTGAGGACCTGAAGCTGTCCACATTTCTGAGGATCTTTTTATGGGTCTTGAAAAGGAAGAGTGCTGAGAGCAGTGGTGTGCTGGTAAATGTTTGACAACAGGCTCTCTGGGAGGAAAAACTCCTGGTTTGTAGCATTTGTCAATTTCTGTAGTGTAAATATTCCACCGTGGCCCATTTCAAGCTACCAGCCTGACATCCTTGAATGCATAGTTGGAAAGAGATGTACAGTGGCCACCTATGTGTAGCATTACCAACATACAGAGACAGGAGGTGTAAATTCCCCCAAGGGCAGAGAGAAGCGTAAAATTTAGCAAAATAATTAGGAAGCAATGAGTTTTTAGTATGTATTACCTTTGTTTTTAATATAATTCATTTAATTGTAAGTTTATATAATTTAGTTACAAATAATTGCTGTGTTTAACAACCAGTTCATAAAATTTCTGAAAATTCAAGAAGCCACCTCCAGCACACCACTGGCTGGGCGTCAGGACATACTGATCCTCAGTCCAGCTCTGCCACACAACAGCAGTGTGATCCTGCGCTCTGTCGCTCAACTTTCTCACCTGAAAAGTGGGTAATAGATTTGGATTCTAATTCTAGATCTGTCTTCTCCATCTTTTGGGGTGATGAGAGAATAAAACGTGACACAGCGTGACAAGTTGTTAAAAAATTAATAAACATGATTTAAGTACATGGGATTGTGTTTATTATTCCAGTCTTAGAAACTGAGGATAGGAACTGATTCCAAGGCCGCTGGGGTAAAAAACAATCCAGAGCAGCTACAGACTCTTGGGTGTAACGCGAGATGACGTGATGTCACTGGGATAAAGCAGACTTCCTCCCTCACTCTGGACTCCGGGGTCCAGGTCTTGATGCTGTCTCATAAGGTCAGCTCGTCTTCGTCACCTGAAGACCTGGGTGTAGGGTGGTGCAGACTACAGCAAGACCTTTCCTCCCCTCGCTTCTTCCTGGTCTCCCCTCTTCCATCAGAGGAGTGATTGTAGGCTCTTCTTTTTCAGTCTTTGCAGAGAGGTCTGAACACTCACACAACCCCCACTAAGGACAGCGTTTCATACCTGCACTCAGAGAAGGCAGCAACAGTGAGGATTATCTAGTCGTCACCGAAGCTTGGCTGTGGGATTTATTGTTATTTAATTTTATTTTTGTGGTGGATTTCTCTTAAATGTTTTTGTCAGAAAGAAAGGTGTTGAAAACAGTATGGCAATTCCTCAAAATATTGAAAATAGAATTACCATAAGATCTGGCAATTCCACTTCTGGATATGCACCCAAAAGAAGTGCAAGAAGGGTGTGTGCACCCACATGCTTAGCAGCATATTCACAGTAGCTAAAAGGTGGACGCAACCTGAGTGTCCATCAGCAGATGACTGGATTAAAAAAATGTGGTCTGTACATGCAGTGGAGTGTTCTTCAGCCTTGAAAAGGAAGGAAATCCTGTCATATACTACAACATTGATGAGTCTTGAAAATATAATGCTAAGCGCAATAAAGCCAGTCATAAAGAGACAAATACTGTGTGGCTCCTCTTATATGAGGCACTGGGAGTAGTCAAAACCATAGAGAGAGAAATTAGCATGGTGGTTACCAGAGGCTGCGGGGAGCGGGGATGGAGAGTTAGCGTTCAACGGGGACAGAGTTTCAGTTGGGAAAGCTGAAAAGGTTCTGGAGATGAAGGATGGTGATGGTTACACAACAATGTGAATGTACTTAATGCCACTGAACTGTACACTTAAAAATGATTAAAATGGTAAATTTTATGTTATATATATATTGTAGGGGAGGAAAAAAACTTTTTCCTCTACCCATCTGAGGTTCATTGGCTGGGACCCTGCAAATTAGACTGACAAAAGACAGATTAGCAAGAGAAAAACAAGTTTATTCACATGTGCACTGTGCATGCACGTGGAACTCAGTGATCGGTAACTCAAAGGGGTGGTTAGAACTTAGGCTCATGTGAGCATCTTGACAGAGGACGGTAACTTTACAGAGAAGTGCCAAGAAAAAGGAAAGGGACTTTGAGCTTCTAGGGGCAACAGCTTAGGGGAAGGAAAATACATGGGAGAAACAGTGGAAGATGAGGGTTGTTTTAGCAAGGTATATTTCTCTGGTGCAGTCTGTGGGGATTAAGAAGGTCCTACCCTTCCTAGGAGAGAGGAGGAGGGCAGAGAGTTTTTCTTGTGTCTACTTCTTCTCAGTTGCTTTCAGCTCAATATAATCTTTATGCCGGGGTGGCATACTCTGAACTCCTATATTTTACCACAATGAGAAAAGAAAAATGAAAGAAAAGTTGCTGTCCAAATGAGATGAAGACTTTAGGATTCATATTGAGAAAGAGAGGAGGTAAAGAAGAGGAAATTAGTTAAGGGTAGTTTATAGAAGATGTAAATTCCAGATTAAGAGCTTGTATCTTATTAGGCAGAGGGAAAACATGAAAAGATTGTTTTGTACTCTTTTCTTTTTAGGCAGGGGAGTGGTTCTTTTGGAAGGTTAACTTAAAATCAATATGTAGTATTTAATGGATAGGTAGTGTGGAGACAGAACTGTCAGAAGGCTCGTATGAGGTGCCAAGAGTTTTACTTTAGTGGACACAATGGGGACAGGCAGAAAACGAGGAATGTAATAGACATCAACAGAATTTACCAATGAGTGGAGATGCAGACAGAGGGCTCTCAGGAGGAAGAGACGATTTGTAGATAAGATGATTCATCCAATTTTAGAGTTTGAAGCACTGGCAGAATAGAGAGGTGTAAAGCTCGCTAGACAGTTGGAAATGCAAGCCCGGCACTCAGGACGGAGAAGGGCACTGTTGGGAATCAGCTGCTCAGAGGTAATAACTGATAGGTTGTTGAAGGAGGAGAACTCAGGGAGAGAGGAGCCCAGGACCTGTTGGAGTATTGGGGATAGGAGGAGGAGGAAGGCAGAGTGAAGCAGGTAATGCCCTCCTGTGGAACCAGCAAGAGTTCCAAGGGGGAGGAAGTGTTTTACACTTTAATGGAGAACTGATGCCAAAAAAAGTCCACTGGATTTGGCAAGTGGGAGGCCATGCGTTACCTTCAGGAGGGCAGTTTCTACTGGGTGGTGGGGAGACAGAAGCAAGGGTGAGGAGTAGTGAAGGGGGAAGTTAGAAGAGGACCCCTCAGTGACAGCTGTCTCTGAAGAAAAAGTCAAGAGGGTAAGGCCTGGAGAGTGTTTTGGGATTTGATGAGTTGGGGACTTTTTATAAACTCAAAGGAAGAAACCTTTAGCTCGAGAGAGATTGAATGTGTTAAGAAAATTGGAAAAGTCGAAGGATCAAGATGCTAGACAGTAAGTAGTTCTCTACCAAGGCTCCCATATGAGAATCGCTTGGGAGGCTTTAAAAAATGTTGATGCCTGTGCCCCTCTCAAGAGCAATTACATGTGAGGTGTGCCCAGGCATCAGGACTTTTAAAGCTCCTCCCTGGCAGGTGATTCTAATGTGCGTCCAGATTGAGAGTCGTTCTGCCAGATGGAGGAGAAAAGGTTTTGAGAGAGAGAGGTGCTGTTGAAGGAGGGAAGGATGGGCAAAGATACAGACACATACCTAGGCCCTAGGTAGGCCCGAGCAGAGAGCAGAGAAGGGAGAGAGCCATCAGTCTTGACTTGGAAGTCCTTCGTCTCTGTAGAGTAAAAGCGATGTCTTCCACAGAAACGGGGAGGGAGGGCTTGAGAGCCTGAACAGTTAGAGACAGGTCAGGAACAAGTGTCTTCGGGAATGTGAGGGAAGTTACTGAGATGAATTAAAAAGATTGCCAAGACGCAGTTTGAGCTGCACAGAGGAGAGTAGCCTAAACGTGTAGCTGATCTGGTTAGCAGCTTTCTCCAGGATTGCTTGACAGGCAATGGGCATTATCTGAGTTTTATTTAGAGGAAAATGTAATTAAAGGGGTGTTTCTTCCCTCCTTGGGTATTAGCATAGCGTTAAGTCAGGGGACAAGGCTGCTTGGGAAGGCCACGCTCAAGTGGCTGGCCATAGAGGTCAGGCTTGGCATGCTAAGCCCTCCAGGAGCTGTGTCTCTGCCTTCTTTCTAACTTGCCCCCTACCTACCACAGGAGCCCCTCCCCAAGGATCCTAGGTTCAGCAGAGGCTTTCTGGGTTCACAGCAGTCCTCTACTTCCTCTGCTGCTTTACTGACAAGGTTTGCTCTTGCTGAATGCCCTTCTCTCTCTCCCCATAGCACTTGATTCCTGTATCTGAATGAGCACTTTCCATGTGTTCTAATTTTTCTGTTTCCCCATCCCCTCAGTGGACTGTGAGCTTCCCATGAGACTATGTCTTAATCATCCTGTGCCTAGCAATAAACATTTGCTGAATGAACAGCTGACTTAACTTCTCCATCCCCTCTTCCTCTCTTAACTGTGAGGGACTTGAAAAATGCTTCTGCATTGAATATTGTTAAATAAGCGGCATGCAAATATGAGTATAAGACAGGTCCCTGTGCCCAAAGAGCTAGGACTTAGTTGAAGAAATAAAACCTGTTCACAAATACATGGTAGATAGTGGTGAGGGCCATGAAAGACTATTGGAGTACAGAGCAAGAAATCACTTTTACTTAGAGCAGTGTTCTCAGAAAGGCGTTGGAGGGAAGTGTCTTTGAACTCCCTGGAATTATAATTGCAATATTTTGTGTATAAGTGCATATGTCCATTTTTTCTGGGAGGAGGGTCTACAGAGGTAAATTCTCAAAGGAATACAAAGCCCCAAAGGTTAACCACTGTAAGGGGTTTTCTCCAGTGGGTCGATTCGGCACGTAAACTGAGGTAGCATCTGGAGACAAGGAGTGTCCCTTCACGACGTGTCCATCTCCCATAGGTATTTCCTTCGAGCCACCATCAGTCGCCGCCTCAATGACGTTGTCAAAGAGATCGACATTGTGGTTCACACACTCAGCACATACCCAGAGCTGAACTCCTCCATCAAGATGGAAGTTGGGATCGAGGACTGTCTGCACATTGAGTTTGAGTACAATAAATCCAAGTAAGTGCCTGGGCCCACGGCTGTGCAAGAACTCTTTAGGGAGTTTAAGACGGCATGGTCGGAACGCAAAGTGAGGGAGCCTCTTGCCTCGGCCGGTTCGTGGTGCCATGCTGGGGGAGAGCACAGAAACAGTACAGTGAGTATATGTGCTGGGCTGGCTAAAGGGAGACTGACCAGGAAATAAAACGTCATTTTACTTAAACTAAACTATATTAAATTAAGACGGTAAATTTAAGTTAAACATCCTAGGCTGTCTTTCAAAATCAAGGTTAAATAACTTTAAGGTTATTTGTTTTGGATTCTAGGTACAGCTGTTTCCTTCTACTGATGAGAAGAATCTCAGAATACCATTCCATTATCATTTGTATGCTACGTACGATATGTCTTTAGAAATAAAGTGAGGAAGCCAAACACCGGCTGTAGTTTGCTGCCTCCTCCCTGAACTAAAATGAATTGTAGCAAAGAGTACCAGATGCCTTTTTATAAAGGTCTTTAAATAATTTTATTTTAACTGACAAGTTGGGAAGCCATGTATGTTTTAAACTGTGTTTACTGTTAGAACATCAAAATATTTAAGTGTCTGTAAATCACAAAACTTACTGACAGTTCAAACACGTACCACAAGCACCTTTCTTTTCAATATAACACATTCCTGAAAAGTTTGAAAATCAAATATGCAAAAGTAAAAGTGTATTGTGTTCACAGAGAGCTAAAAAAACCACAGAGTCTGTAACGAGGGTTCTCACTGTGGAGAGACCCTCCCCTCAGACCTGCTGTCACCAGAGGCCCAGGGGGTGGGGCTCAGCCAGATGGCTCTGCTGTGAAGGGGCTGAGAACAGGATTGTGTTCAACTGGAATCATACATCCTTCCTAGAACAGGGGTGAGGGAAGGATGTATTTTTTATCCCCTACCCCCTGGCCTGGAACCAGGTGTGACCCGGAACGGGCCACTTATGGCACAGGGTGGAGCAAGCTGGGAGGCAGGTTGCTCTGGGCCTTGCAGGGACATGTAAGGGAACAGGCTTGTTGCCTTTCTCCTCACAGTCCCAGGGCTCTGGCCCTGCCCTGTGGGAGAGGATGATCCACCTGTGTGACGTAGCAGAAAGAGCCCAGCACTTGGAATCGGGTCCTATTCTGCCACAAAGGGATTGGGCTCAGACTGGCAGGTACTAAAATTTCTGTACCTCGGGTTTCTGATCTGAAAAATGAGGGGCTTGGATTAGGTTAGTGGGTTTCAAACATACACGCAAGAAAGGATTAAGTGAAAGAGGAGCTGGGCTGGGGCTCTAGGCCCTCCACAAGAGCGGCTCTTTTATGTTTCTTACATATTAATGCTTCTGCGTAAGATTTCATTGAGAATAAAGGAATGTTCAATTTATAAAAGTTTGAAAACTCCTAGAATCTATGACCTCTAAGCATTCATTCTAAAATGCTCTGAGTGGCCTTTGTAAGTGTTCTTAGGTTATCTGCTTAGAGTCTGTAGTCTTCCCAGTTTGACTGTGAGCAGAAAGGTGGCATGAGACAGTGGGGGAATACAAGCCTAGGAATAGCAACCTAGGTTTACATCCTGTGTCTACCCCTACTCAAATCCTGGTTAAACTGTGGATCTTCTTCAAACTTCCTTTTCTTCACCTGTAATATAAAGAGGTTAAATTCTAAAGTCCCTGCCAACACTCATGTGCCATGATTCTGAGCTTCAGGTTTGAAGATTGTGCTCTCTGCCTGCCATGCCTCCTACACGGCTGTGCACATACAGACCACCAGTACTACTGACTGACCCACAGGAAAGCCTGAAGGGTCGGAAGGCGTTAGGCAACATGGCCGAATTCATAACAGCGCACACAGCACAAGCCGTGTGAGCAGAGCCTGGAGAGAAGGTGCTGATGGAGCATGAGGCGTGCGTCTTGCTCCACTGCTTCTCCCTGGCCTGTCACGGCCACAGCCGACAAACTGCTGTGGGCCATGGAGGCCCAGTTCCCAAAAGACATTTTGTGGAGCTCAGAGAAGAGCGAGACCTGGTTCCTGCGTTTGTGAGACTGGCCTCTCACACATTAGGATATCTAAAAGACACACGTACACAAATACGAAAGGTATAAAAGAAGTGAAAGTACTGAGGAGAGAGATCAGACGAGCAAGCGTGATTGGCTGATGTAACATGCAGGAAAAATGTCCTTTGAGTTGTATGTGGAAGAATGGAAGGGACAGAAGTTACTTTGATTCAAGTAAAGAACATATTGGGGAGTTCATTCTACAGTGGCAGTGTGGGTGGAATGTGGGTGTGTGTGCACTGCAACTCCATCTTTAGCCAACATGCGTGGCAGTGTGCCTGCTCCTGGATCCACAAAGGCCTGTAAATGTGCAAAGGGTTAGCTGCTGTACACACTTCTTATTTTCTTTACTTTCTCTTCCCCAGATACCACTTGAAAGATGTCATTGTAGGGAAGATATACTTCCTGCTGGTAAGAATCAAAATCAAGCATATGGAGATAGACATCATCAAGCGGGAAACGACAGGCACAGGCCCCAACGTGTACCATGAGAATGACACGATAGCCAAGTATGAGATCATGGATGGAGCACCCGTGAGAGGTGAGCCGCAGCCGCCACACCTTTCCTCCCAGGCCGTGCACAAAATTTTGGAGGGGCTCGAGGGAATATGCTGTTAACATAAGATTCCCTATTAACCCATAATTTCTCAGTCTCCAGTTGTACACCGTGTGTCCCAAAAGGGAGCAAATGGAGGGTGGAGTCTGTGGAACTGCAGGCTCTTACCCCACCTTCAGCCAGGAGAGCTCCCCCCGGATTGCCTTATACACTGAGCTTGCACTAGAGACGGTGTCTCCCGAGTTACACCTGTTAAAAAACAAAGTGAAAAGTACTGATTTAGCAGATATGGTTTAAACATTTTGTTAATTTTTCCCATTGACATTCTGACATTCTTTGCTTCTAGGGAACAAGAAATTAATGCAGAATAGTCATTTGTGTTACTTAGTTCTAGCTCTGGTAATTAATTCATTCTCTGAATTCATTTACAAGTATAGATACTCGAGCATCATTACCAGGTGCTACAGACAGCACTGGAACCCGACCCAGATGGAAGCGGTCCTCTCCCACCCCCACCCAGCTAACACTACATCTGAGATGGATAGAGTTGAAAGCTTTGTTATTTGGGGAATCTATGTGATTATTTGGAAGTAGCAATCATTTATGTTCTTCATTGGCTCTGCAGCAACTGATGATAAAGAATGTGTGTTTTCATTTAGAAGTGCTTGGTGATGCCAAGGTTTTATTCAGTTTATTCCTATAGTCTGTTCCATGTGGAAGGAGGGGTGTCAGAGATTTAGCAGCCTGAAACACTGGGGACCCTGACAGCAGCTTCTTGGATGTCACCATGTCAGGTCCTTGGGGGAATTGGACTGAGCTCTCCTGACTCTGTATGTTCCATTTTTTCACCAACTGTGCAAGGAGAGCCAGTGTTCCTGTACAAATGAAATGGGGCACTGAGAAAAGATCCAAAACAGCAAATAACTGAAAGTTCATTTATATTTAGCTTGAGACTACACTATAGGTTTGGCCTTTCTCAGTAGAATTACTGCCCTAATTTTGTTCCACTTATACTAGGAAAGGCATGATGTTAGAGTTGGAAGGGATCTAAAATATTACATAGTCTGATCCCATAATTTTCCACATGAGAAAATTAAGGTCCAGAGGAGGCAACAGACTTGTAAGTCAGACAACTGGTTAATGGAGAACTGGGACTAGAATGAGGATTTTCTGTTTTCCAGGCCACTCTGCCACCCTGCAGTCCGTCTTGGAGTGGAGATGTATTTTGGGAGGCAAACACCAGTTAGGATGGAGGGAGATGACATCAAAATAGCTGGGTGACAGGATAGTTAGCTGGGTTTTGACAATTGGCTCTTGAAAACCCAACAACTAGACATATTACATGTCATCCAAAGATGCATAACTGGGGCCGGTCCAGTGGCATAGTGGTTAGGTTCGCACACTCTGCTTTGGCGGCTCGGGGTTCACAGGTTTGGATCCTGGGCGCAGACCTACACACTGCTCATCAGGCCACGCTGTGGCGGCATCCCACATACAAAAACAGAGGAAAACTGGCACAGATGTTAGCTCAGCGCCAATCTCCCTGAGCAAAAAGAGGAAGATTGGCAACAGATGTTAGCTCAGGGCGAATCTTCCTCACCAAAAAAAAAAAAACAAACCATGTGACACAGTAACGTCCCTGTGCTGTTCATATTCCCTGGTCTCTGGATTGGGATGGTGAGAGGACATTCGGATGATGCAACCAGACCTGGAATGGAATTGCAGAGTCATGATTTTTACTTCAGCAAATCACTTGGCAGCAGAATGCAACTTCCCAAAAGGCAGAAGCATTTGCTTGAGTGTTCCGTGTCACGCTCAGGTGGCATCTGTCCCCCGCTGTGGTCAGAGTGACTTGGTGTAAGGTAGAGTGGGTCACTTTGCCCCTCACTCTAATTCCTGCCTGGCCCCTGCAGGAGAGTCCATCCCTATCCGGCTCTTCCTGGCGGGCTATGAGCTCACGCCCACCATGCGAGACATCAATAAGAAGTTCTCCGTGCGCTATTACCTCAACCTGGTGCTGATCGACGAGGAGGAGCGGCGCTACTTCAAACAGCAGGTGAGGCCCGGGCACCTCCTCTAGACCCTGGCTGCCCTAGAGACAGTACAGGAACAGCATCATCTCTGTGAAGATCAGGCTCCATTTCTGACAGGGTGGGCAGAACGATACGGGGGAGAGAACTTATTAGTCTCTGTGCCACTTGCTGGTTTACCAAGGGGTGGACACACTGGATTGCCCAGAGTCCCACAGCAAGAGTGAGGTTCCCACTTGATACCGCGAGTCTGCTTTCTCCAGCCCAACCCCTGCAACCACGCTGCCCTTCCCGCCCACGTGATCAAAAGGAGCCCTGGGATGGGTAGGACAGCTGCTGTCTGGTGAGAGGTAAACAGAGGAGGCTTTTGCCTGAGATTCTCTCAGAGGAGAAGGTTGGCGCCTCGGGAAACCCACCCCATGCCTCCCTGTCCCAATTCTGCAGGAAGTGGTGTTGTGGCGGAAGGGTGACATCGTGCGGAAGAGCATGTCCCACCAGGCAGCCATCGCCTCACAGCGCTTCGAGGGCACAGCCTCCCTGGGTGAGGTGCGGACCCCCGGCCAGCTGTCTGACAACAACAGTAGGCAGTAGGCCCCCAGGGCCAGGCAGCGGCTGGGCTTCCACCCCAGCACCCCGTCTACCAGACACCAGCGGCTGGCGGGAGGGGGAGGATGTTGTGATGCTCAGCTGACCCGTTACTTGCAACCTGAAAACAAATTGTTTTTGACTTAAATTCTTTTTTCCGAAGAACCTAACGGGCTTGGGTTGGGACGCAAGTATCCTTGGGATTCTGCAGCTGATGTGGGGATGGGGAGAGTCAGCATCCTGGAATCTAGTCTCTCTGGGAAAAAGAGCCTTGTGTTGAGGCCTTCCACGTGGGGCTGCCTCGCGTCTTATAGGAGAGCAGAGAGCAGGCATTCTTGGCTCCTGACTCTCTGAGCTTCCTGATAGAGGATCTGAGCATGTCCCAGGATTCCGAGCTGGCAGCGGGGCCCTGGGTAGTCATGTCTCGTCCTCCCCTCTAGTGTCCCTGAGGTAGTGGCCAAGGAGTTGGGCCTGCCCCATCCTAAGTGGCAGGGGGAGACTCAAGACCAGGAAGCCACCTCTTTGGGAGTCTTGGATGTGGTGCTTTGAAGTTTCCACAAGCCACCTCCATTCTGGCCTTTCTGTCACTGGTGGGACTCAGGCATTGCCCTTCTCCCTCTTTTACGGATTCTGGTCAGTAATGTCCTGGAACAGAAGCCTGTACAAGGGCCTTTGGCTGACTTTGCCCTCACCCGTGAGAAATTTGGGCACAGAGACACTGGGGGTCAGTGTCACGCATGGATGGCAGCAGAGCTGAACACAGGCCGGGCTGGGCCCACTAAGGAAGAAGGATGGTAACTGTGCCTGGTAGCTGTCTGCCTTCACCACGGGACTCCTTGCCAGCATGAGGGCTGGGTGGTTTAGGGTATTGCTCTGAGTGCCCAGCATCCTAAACAAGGGCATCTGTTTCCTTTAAGAAGAGATCCCAGGAGGGGGCCTTGATTGCTTTGCTTCCCTAAGAGTGGACCCTCATCACTCCTTGCTTTCCACTGAATTTCTGGGAATTGGGGCTTGGTCTCAAACACTTGGAAGTTCTGTTCTTCCTATTGCTCAAGCCTCTTCACTCCCTACCTGCGAGTTAAAGGAGGGAGATGAGGGCCTCAGCAGAAGACTTTGCTGCACAACTTCAGAATAATTGTGCTTGCCAAATTATGTCTTCATCTTCACCATTGAGTTTAGAATTGTTGGTATTTTTGTTTAAAAACATATACAAAAACTCTCATGGATATTCTTGCTACGCTAGAGGAGAGGGGAGCTTCCCTCTGTTGTGCTGTGCTTGGGCCTATTGTAGGAAAGGTGTTCACATCCTTTTCCACCTCAGTTGGAAATGATCAGGAATTACTCTCCAATTGGCCTCCCTTCCCTTCTAGAAAGACCAAGCAGACCCCACTGGCCAATAAGTACAGTATTTGCCAGTCTGACTGTAATTTGGAAAGCAGAGGGGTTGGTTCCTGTGTCATCTTTCAGTTAATGTGGAAAATGGGAACTCCCCTTTTCCTCAGAAATCAGTGCAGTCGTGGGCCTTTGACTGAGCAGGGCTCATGGATCAGAATTGAGACTGGAGGGAAAGGCATTTGGGATGACACTTGAGGTCGACTGGGGGACCTCAAGATCCCCTCAAGAAACAAGGAAGATAAGATGGTTTCCCTCATGCTGGACCCTGAGTTCCAGTGCGACAGACAATCCCATGGGGACAGCATCGCCCATCCAGCTGCCCCTGGATTGTCACGGTTGGGGCTTACGTTTATGGGGAAGCAAGGCTGTGTTCCCTGCCTTGGGAGCACGAGACTAGGCTCTGGTATGCCTCCCATGATAGCTGGTGTTCTAACTAGAAAGCATCTGCCAATTCCTCTGCCCCTTGAACTGACAACACAAATTCATTTTCCAACTTTCCTAATATCTTAAACCTTTCTTCTGGGAGAACTAGAAGACAGAATTTGCTTTTATTCTCTCAGGAGCTGTGCACAAGCCAGGTCTTCTGTTTTCTCTTACTCTGCCCCATTCTGTACTTCTCTGTCCAACTGGGGAAGTAAGGGGAGGCTCCTGGCCCCTCCTTTCAAGGTCCCCATACCTGGGAGTGCATAGGTACTAAACCAAGCAGTGCAACTTGTGATTAAGCAGCTGCAGTGTTTACATGTTTCTTAATGTGTCGTCTTTTCAATGGCTGTATTTTAAAAAAAGAACACTTGTTCAGTTGTCTCTCTGATTAAAGGAAGCCCCGGTGGCTTGGAGGCATTGTGCCCATGGTCCACCAGGTTCTGTGGTCTCTTCTCTCTTAGTGTCCCACCTCACACACAGGGGAAAACAATCCCCCCGCAATCCAACACAGCACCTGCCCTCTCTGTGTCTGTGGTTCCTGGGGAACAATGATGAGCACTTTATTAACACCTGTTTTGGACAAGCACGTGGCTGAGAAAGGAATTCTGATTTCACCGCTACCTGGCAACTTGTCTTGAAACTGCTGATGGTTTAAACCGCTGTGGGACCCAGCTGAGGAAGGCTGGTACAAAGAGACAAAAGTTCATTTCAGTGGGTGTTAACAGACTGAGTCCTACACCCTGGTATTTGCTACAGTAAAGGCAGATGGTAGAAGCAGCCCTGCATCCTGACAAGGCACAAGAGGAGCCAGTAGAGTATTCTATTACAGCCAATGCTGTTTTAAAAGAAAAGTTTTCCAACTTTGATATTAATGTTTATTGAAAAAAGTACACAGAAACCACCTATGTACACAACCCCAGGTGCACATAATAAGCAAGCTCTTCACACCTTCTGTTGTCTTATAAAAGCTCGACTACTTTGGAGTAGTGTCTTGCTCATTCCAGCAACAGTGTCTCAGTTAACTTGGTTCTTCTTCCTCCAGGCTCAAAATAAAATCAAACTCCTCTACCAAAAAGGGGAAAAAGAAAGGGAAGAATTAGGTCTTGTGTCTCCTCTTGAACAGGGAAGTTATGCTAGGTGTTTCACATGTTACCGGTGTAGGTAGTCATCCATTCAAAAACTATTTACAGAATGTTTTACTACGTGCCAAGCATTGTTGGGTACCAGGTACATGGTGATGGGTAACTCAGAACATATTTTCTCCCTCATGGATGTTACAGGTGAGGAGACAGACTCACAGAGGCTAAATACTGTGCCTAAGCTTAATCAGCTAGTACCTGTGAATTCATGGGTCATTCTGGTGTGTGGGTAATGAAGGAAAGGAACTGCTCTTACCTTGGGTCACAGGCTGAATTGAGAGTCTCTGGCGAGTGAAGAGAGCCATATTTTTTAAGGGGCCACCAGTGGCTTTGTGAGCTTGGTGATGGGTTTTGAGCTCAGCCAGGGAAATGAAACGCTTCATCATCCGAACAAATTGTACGTCCACCTACATGACAAGAGTGTAGAGGACAGAAAGACAAGTCCAGCTAGATTCTGTCTACTGTGTGTTCTAGCTACTTGCAGGAGGTTCCTATGGGCAGGGCTGCCAGTGTCCTCTTATTATGTCCCAAGTCAGGGTAACCTCATCTGAGTAAGGGCTAGGCTCTGTACCTTGACCTAAAGACACTCCAGACCTTCTCTGTCCCTCTTTGTCCACTCTTTCTCTCTCATGAAATAGGAAAAATAGTAGTCTTTACCATGGACCATTTGGGGTTGTCTTCTTTGCTGGATGGATCATAATGGGGATTGTTTTTCTCAAACTGTGTGTGGTCTGGGTAAGCCTCCTTCACAATCTGAAACCAAAACCAAGTCTCCAGTCATTTGCCTGTACAGTCAGCTCCATGGCCAATCTTTAATCCATGTCCAGCTTTCATTTCTGACCCTGTACATTCTTACCCATACTTGCTGTAGAGCCAGTGAGGGCTCAGATATCTGGAAATAATACACAGTCTAAGGCAAGCATAGGAAATCAACCCTCTTTTGATAAAAATCTTAAACGTATGTTCTAAAATCAAATATTAAAGGTTATTATTGGTACCACTGTTTTTCCAGCTGCAGTTAATAATTATATCCTGATAACTCCTGGCTTGGAAGAGCTACCATCAGGCCTGTTTTTGAGTGAAAGACCAAGGTGTAGAAGTGGAGGGAAGTCTGTGCCAGTGAGACCTGAAATGAGGCCTGCCTTGTTATAGTCCTTGTCTCACAGGAAGGGGCCAGGGCAGTTTTTTCCATATTCCTGTGACAGCAGGGATGGGGAGGAGGGTACTGCTTTTTTGTTACCTATTTAAGCTGTGTCCATTTATATCTACATGAGTAAGTTTTCCTGCAGGGAGAGTGATTCAGACCAAAGCCTGAACAACTCACCTTCATAAGTCCTGCAATGCCTGGCTCTTTGCAGTTGCTATGGTAGAAGAAGGCTTCTTCCTCCAGCTTCATGGCTCTAAGGAAGTTCCGGGCCTGTCCCAGGGGAGAAGAAACAAGAACTATCCTCCCCACCGGCTGGAAAACGCTAGCTATTAGCAGAAATCAAGTCTGCTTTTATTAGATGAGTTTTTCTTTCTTGTAACTTCCTCCAATTCAATTCAGTTCCATTCTTGCCTTTGCCAAGATACCCCAACTCGTATCAGGATACTGGCTAGGACACCGGCTGTTTGCACACTGCAGGAAGGCAGAGTAAGGTGTTTTTGAATACATTTTCAGGTTTGGGTTCTGGGATAAAGCAACCTTGGCCAAGAGGTTTTGCTACCAAATAAGTCATGAGAAGGAGGCAGGCACTTATCCACCCTGGGTCTCGGGGTCCTGCTCTTACCCTCTTACCTGGTAGTTGCGAACACCATCCCAGCATGCTGTCTGCTTGGGCTCTGCTTTGAGATCCTCAATGCTGAACTAGGCAACAGGAAATAAAGTCATTAAACAAGCCTGGGCCAATTGGTAAGAATATATGGAAGCAGACAGTTCCTTCCCTACCCTAAGGGTGCTACTGGCTATAGTGGAAGTATATAGTTTACAGGGAAGTAGCTCCACAAAGCCACTTAGATTGGGCGAATGTAAGTAAGCCTTGTATTACCTTGTTATTCTTGCTAATTAAGAGGATTAAGTGAATGGGTAATTCAGGTGATAGTGTAACCTGCTGGTTGTCTGTATTTCACTTAATATTACATATTTCCGGGCCAGCCCAGTGGTATAGTGGTTAGGTTCACACACTCTGCTTCAGCGGCCCGGGGTTGCAGGTTCGAATCCCAGGCACGGACTGGTGCACCGCTCATCAAGCCATGCTGTGGCGGCGTCCCACATGCAAAATGGAGGAAGATGGGCACAGATGTTAGCTCAGAGCCAATCTTCCCTTAGCAAAAAAGAGGAAGATTGGCAACAGATGTTAGCACAGGGCCAATCTTCTTCACCAAAAAAAGTATTATTACATATTTCTAATAATACTTCCTCTAAGCTATATTAAAATTTACTTATATTCATTCCCTGAATATATACCAACTGTTGGCAGGGAGATACCTAGGAGCATGGCAGGTGGCAAGAGAAATGCAACCTAAGATTGAAATGTTGCCTAGATCAGAGGTTGGCAAACTACGACCTTCAGGCCAAATCTAATCCCATGCCTGATTTTGTAAATACAGTTTTATTGGATTTCAGCCATACCATTTTACATATTGTCTACGGCCACTCTCCTGCAACAACAGAGTTACAACAGCAACTGTAAGACCCGCAAGCCCCAAATGTTTACTATCTGGCCCTTTACAGAAAAAGTTTGCCGACCTCTGCCCTAGTTAGAGGATTCACAAAAGAGATCATTGATAGTAACAAATCCTGCTGATTTTATTCCTTATTACCTTTTCCCTACCTTTCAATGATTACTTGGTGATGGAACCCTGTGGTGAACAATATTCACTTCTTATTTAAAAAAACCGCTTGAAGGGATTGGAGACAGGTACATAGTCTCACCTTCACATCTACACCTTTCTCTAGTCGGCTTTCTGGCTCTGACTTCATCAGCCAGTAGCTGCTTAGATTCTTCTCACAAGTTTTAAAGGCTGAAGTCTTCTGAGGGCTGGAGTTCTTCACTTTAGCTGATGCCTCACCTGGGTTCTTAGTTTTGGTATGTTTTCCTGCTGGCCCCTCGTCTGCAATAGGAGAAGCAAAAAGAAGAGACCTGTCATACTTGCTGACAGGAAATGTTCCATTGTGGGCAAAGCATATGCTTTGCAGTCAGACCTGGATTCAAATCCTGGACTTGTCAGTTACTAGCAGTAGCAGCTTAACTGCTCAACTTCAGTTTCTTATCTATAAAAATGGGACGAGAATGCCTACCTTACAGGATATCTTCTGGATTATCCATTCAGTGGGATAAGAATACCTTACGTGGCTGTGGTTGAGGATTAAAGGTCCTAGCAGAGTACGTGACATATATTTAATGTCAATAAATGTTTTCTTTCCCTCACTCTCCTGTGTCTTTCCTGAGGCTAGTCTCTCCTGTGAGGAAACTCAGCACCTACTCCATGGACTTGTTTTGAAGATTAAATAAGATAATACAAACAAGGGGCTTAGACAATGCCTGGCATTATAATAAACGCTCAGTAAATATTAGCCATTGTTAACATCTCATACTTCTTTCCTTCTTGCTCACTGTGCTTTATGGCCTGCCTCCTTTCTGCTCCTTGAAGGTGCCAAGAGAAGTTGGAAACAGCAGCTCATTTGGGACTTTGTAGACATGGTAAAGAGTGGATTTTATCCTAAGAGAATTAGAGAAAATATGCCTGGAACACAGTAGACCCTCAATAGCTAACACTTGTTAAATTCTTACTATATGATGGACTCTAAGCTCTATGCGTGACCCTAACCCTAACTAAGTTAATCTGTATAATCTATGAGATGTTCTATTCGCCTGGGAAATGTGTCCCAGATTACATATCCAGTAAATGGTAAAATCAGGCCCTTGTCACTGTGGTCTGTCTGAATCTACACTTAATGACTATACTACACAGCCTCTGAATTAAGTCCAAGCTCCTAAATCAGTCATCATTAAATATCATTTATGGATGTCTAATACTCTGAACCTTCCTAGCCCAGTTTCTTTGTGGTCCCTTTGGAGTTAACAGGCATGCTGCAAAGGCCGTGTGTGTTAAATAACACACTATGTTGTAGTTAATCTGGAACCCTTGCCATTCTCAAAAGAAGTACTTTCTCTGCCTTTAATTGCTTTGTTCCTGCTCTTCATCCACTTAGAATGCTGTTCATCCTTGTGAATATAAAAATGCTATCTCATTTTCTTTGCCTCTGGAAAGCGTTCCCATTCTTTAAGGCTGGGCTCAAATTCCGCTTCCTACTCAATACACTCCCTGTGATTCCTCCCTGCTCTCACACCCCTAGCAATTCAGTTTCCTGGGCTCTCACTTAATGTCTGTTGGCATTTCCCCTGAAAGCAGAAACTACTATACCATTGGTTCTCCATATCCACGGATTCAACCAACCTACAGATGGAAAGACCTATGATGGTTGCATCTGTACTGAATATGTACAGACCGTTTTTCTTGTCATTATTCCCTAAATGATATGGTAAAACAACAATTTACATACCATTACATTGTATTAGGTATTATAAGTAATCTAGAGATGATTTCAGTACACGGAAGGATGTGCATATCATAGGCTATAGGCAAATACTACGCCATTTTATATAAGGGACTTGAGCACCCGGGATTTTGGTATACACAGTCGTGGAACCAAGCCCCTGCTGATACCGAGCAGAAGACTGTCTTGATCTTAGTACATGCCACCGTGTATCGTAAATGTTTTTTGTGCTTATCAAATAGCCATTGCTTGAATGAACAGACAAGAAGAGGCTCTCGCAATAAGTTTGGTGGGAAGAGTAAAAGAAGATAGAGGGCGATCAGAGATAACGTAAGGAAGACTAATCCATAAAGGAGTCTCCCCACAAGCAGGGAGCAGAAAGTGAACAGTATTCCAGACTCCAGAGAAACGTTCTTTCCGGGGCTGCCTTTCGCAGCCCGGGTGCAGCTCACCTGGCCCAGCAGCCCCAGGCAGCCTCTTCTGAGGTCTCGGCATGGTCTCCCTGCAGGGGCTGAAGAGCGGAGGATTCTGGAATCAACAGAGAGACACAAGAGGCAATTCTGTATCTGCCCGAGACCCCCGCGCAGAGCAAGACGTGGACGATGAGAGAACGCTTAGAGGGTCTCAGCCCACAGGGTCTTCAGAGAACAGAAACAACTGGGCTTGGGACCCTCAAATCCTTCCCGTTATCTCTGCCCCCATTTCCATCTCGCCTAACCTGCCCCTGAGCTCTCCTCGGTTCTTTCCTCGACCCTGCTCTCATTCTTTCACCATCTTCTGTCTGCACAGGCCCCACCGCTCCGCAGACACCACCCCAACCCACCTCCTAAGGCGCCGGAAGGCCGAGCACTGCGTCCCCGCGGCGGCGTCCAGATGCGCCTGTCTCGCGCCGGGCGCGCGGGGCTCTCTGGGAGTTGTAGTCCTTGCGCAGGCCCGCTTGGCTCCAGAGCGCCGCCTCTCCCAGGGTGCAGTGCGGGGCGGGGTCTGGGAGGGAGGCGGCTTGGATGTCGCCCGGCTAGTGTGAGCGCAATCGAGGTCACGTGCTCTCCAGCCCGGGCTGGAGCAGGAGCGACCGCTATGTGGCGAAGTGGCTGTCGGCGTCTCGGAGCGCGGCTTTGCGGGCTGCGCGGTGGTCTCGGGGTCCCCGCCGAGAGCGGCCACCGGAACGTGGTGTCCTGCATCGATCGTAAGGCTCGCCGCGGGGGTGCAGGCGTTCAGGACCCGGGAGGGGCCGAAGTCTGCGCGCCGCAGCGCGCCGTCACCCCCGGCCCGCCTCCCCTTTCCCGGTCGGCTCCCTCGCCGGCGCGTTGCCCCTGGGCGGTTACCCCATGCTGTCCATCTGGCTGGCTTCCCCGCTGCCCTCACTGTGTGGTCTCATTCCGTCTGTTGCGCCCCGGGACCTCGTCTGCTACGCGGCGTGGATGGGAAGCCAGGCTTCTGAAACGTGTGCCTGAGGCCTCTCCAGTTCTTAAGCCGTGTCCCCCCTTCTGTCCACCGCACCCTTCCAGCAGAACTTGGAGTTTCTAGTGTAAAACGGTGTTTTCCTGCCTCACAGGACCCTTTGAAGATAAGTTGAGATGTGAAAATACTTTGCAGTTATATAGCTTAACTTGTTGCTGATGCTATTCGTTAATTGTTCAAATCTTCCTTAAAAGTAGTTTATATTATCAGCCTCTTGATATCACCTGTGGACTGAAACAGAGTCTAGGTGATCTTACTGAAGGAGTTTGTTCAGTAATCAGCGTGAGGAATTCGAACCCCGGGAAAACCAACAGAGCGCTCTGATGGAGCTGCTCCCAGGTGTGGGAGTTTAAGTGCAGCTTATGTCTCTTGCACAAAACAGCACATGTGGAGGGAAGAGGGAAAGAAGAAAACTCAGACCCAGATTTCAAAAAAAAAGGGATAGAGCACATCTGGGCCTGTCTCTAGTTCTACATGGAGGGTCACATAAACAAGAATTTCTAGGTTACACGTTAAACAAGTTCCGAGATGCTGACGTGATGTGTGGAGAGAGGCAAGATCCAGGGTGGTTAATTGTTCCCTCAGTTTCTAAGAAATGCAGCTGGGAAATGTGAGAGCAAGGTGCCCTTTAGCTTTTCCTGGTGTGGATCTGTCCCTCTGGCATCTTCAGTTGTGAGACGAGGGGTTGCAAGGTCATTTTGACCCAGGCTGAAGATGGCCTGCACAGCTGTTTCACAGGACAGCAGGGATTTTATTGTACTGACTTAAAGCCTATGCAGTTTGCTTGTTAGATTCACCTGTTAGACCAGGGAGGGGGGCTCCTGAAAATCTGTCCACACAACGTTTCATAAGTTTACTTCCGAATACAGTAACTAAAGGTTTTTTACATTCATACTCACAACCAAGATACATGTTGTTGTTATCGCTGCTATCAGATAGGAGTGGATACTGAGAGAGATGCAGGCATGCATGGCTTGTGTTTTTTTTAAGTCGTAACAATAGGTCATAAAGGTAGTAAGAATGTAAATACCTGGTGCTGCTAGCGATGGGTGAACAAGAGCTCCCGGTAGTACAGGATCTGCTCACATATAAATTTTATAACTTAACACCTGTAGCTGTAAAGCATTATTACTGTTGAAATTCTTGCAGAAAAAATAACTGTTATTGCAAACAGGAAACTCTACCCGAGTTTACAGACCTGACTCTTGTCAGGCACCTGGCACATGATTTAAATGTGCGTAACAGGGAGTGTGGGGAGCTAGGCTGACTAGGGAGTACCCAGCCTCTCTTTGACTTTGTCAAGTACCTAACCATTTTTTTCTTCTGAAATAATTTTTTTGTTTACTTTAAATGACACTTTATAGCAGAATAATCTATAAATAGCTTAGATTGCCACCGAGATTTAGAAAGTACACCAAAGTATAGAATACTTCTCAGTGTCCTAAAACCCCTTCAGAAGGTGCTGCCCGGTTCCAGCGCTTAGAATTTGCTCAGCAAGGTCACCCTTCCTTTATGGATACCAAAGTAGATAAGGAGTTGTTCTGGCAACAAATAAGTTAAATATGAGTATTTCCAGCAGCTAGTGGTGTAACTTCAGCCAATGAGGTGCTTTTTCACCTTTTTAAAAGAAATTATCATCTTTTTTTTGGTGAGGAAGATTAGCCCTGAGCTAACATCTGTTGCTAATCCTCTTTTTGCTGAGGAAGATTGGCCCTGGGCTAACATCCATGCCCATCTTCCTCTACTTTATATGTGGGACACCTGCCACAGCATGGCTTGATGAGCAGTGCATAGGTCCACGCCTGGGATCCGAACCCGCAAACCCTGGGCCACTGAAGTGGAGCGTGCGAACTTAACCACTATGCCACCGGGCTGGCCCCAAGAAATTATTATCTTTTAATTTGTAAAATGAAAGAAAATTCTCCTTTTAATGTCATATATATTAGAATATCAAGTTAATGGAAGTAATCAACAATATTTCTTTTGTTTCATTGCATATTTTAATGTAAAAGATAACTTTCAACTGAATTATGAGTTTTACTATATTTTATTATATATTACATATGTTTAGTGTATACACTTTCCTAGTTTTACAGATGAGGACATCTCCTCGGTGCCTAGTGCAGCCCCCTCATTTTACAGTGACATAATAAACAGAGGGTTAGAGAGGGGCCTGACTTACTGAAACTTGTGCAGGTCACAGTTTCAGAACCAGAGCACGGTCACTGGATTCCTTGTCCAGGGCTCTCCGCTGTGATTTGCTGCAGCTCCCTAAGCGTTCCTTGAACGTTCCTGGAGTTCCAGTCAAGGAACTCCGTGGCTGGAGTTCCGAGTCTCCAGTGGAACTGTGGGTATTCCAGTTGGGTTTCTACTTAGGATTCATTCTGAGTCTTATAGTATTTAGAATTTGTTTTGGCCTCCTGCTTACAGTTGAGTTGCTTTACAGTGAAGCCTTTCCTTATTTAATTTGGGCCCTTTTTCTATTTAGCTTTACTGTTTGGTGTGTGTGGGTTGGCTTTTTGAACTCTGCCAGTAACTCCAGCAAACTTCCTGAGGCCCGGGTTTGGTTTGGTTTGGTTTTTATAGTGTATATTTTCTGGGAACTTAGGTATTTTGACTTGGTCACTGTGCTTCCTTGTGTATGATTTACTTTTTAACTTGCATTTTCCACTTTTTTCCTCCAAGCCACGCTGTCCTTTTGTTAGCATTTCCTTTTCTTTTTTTTTTTTTAATTTTTTGTTTATTGCAGTAACATTTGTTTATAACATTGTAAAAATTTCAGGTGTACATCATTATACTTCTATTTTTGCATAGATTACATCATGTTCACCACCAAAATACTAATTACAACCCATCACCACACACATGTACCGAATTATCCCTTTCACCCTCCTCCCTCCCCCCTGCATTTCCTTTTCTAAAATTGACTATTTGTTATCTATCTTTAAAATATATGTAATTATGTTGTATTCCATTATACACATAATTTGCATTCGGTTATTCCCTGTTATTTACTTAGGATGCAATTCAAATCTATTTTTTAAACCTTTTGTTCCTTGAACTGTTTGTTTTAGAAAGTAGCCCTTTACTCTGTCAAATAATGCTAATTGTAAATATTTATTGAGCTCTTGTTGGGACTGAAGTTCTGTAGCATTTCTGTTTATGCAGTAAGATCTTTCTATTATTACCAGTTATGTCCTCCTCTGTGTAAATGGACCTGAATATTCACCCTTGTAATTCCAGCACTGCTCCATAGTAGACATTCAATAAATATTTGTTTCTGAATGATCTTTGACCCCTGATGTACAGGAGCATTTAGGCAAGATTGTGCAAATAAATCACCTAACTCCCAGTTGGGGAACCATGAACTGCTTATCCCTAACCGTACTTCTGAGAGTAACATCCAGTATAGGTTTCTGCTCTGGGCTTCACAAGGTAGCCTAATCTTGAATCTTCACCACTATTCATTTCTGAGTTTCCCATTTTAATGCGAGTCCTGATACAGAGAGAATGCTTTCTCCTGGCTCACACAGCCGGCTATTACTGATGCCCTGGTCTAGCCCAGAGAAACAGACTCGGACACCTGTACTTGTTCTCTGTCGGTAGGACTGTGCATTGCTATTAGGCACTGAAATAAGTTATTGTTGAGTGTGGCTCCATAATCTCCCTTTAGTGCTCTTTAGCATCACCCCATAATGACCGATTTTTAGCACTGAAGTATGAACCTTAGGTACTGGAGAGCCCCACTCTTCCTCCTTCCCCCTTACATTTTTACAGCCCCTCCGTACCTCAGGGCTTCCCTGTGCCTCCAGGTAGAGGCATACACTCCTTTACTTTTTCTTAGCACACCTGAGGCAGGTGGTCCTTTTAAAATGGCGTCATTAAGGGACAACAAAAGAGAAATAAATGTGGACAATTTAAGTCTGATTCACCACGTGCAGGTTGCTGATCCTACTGTGGTGTGCTGGCTCCCAGGATTTGTGGTCCTCTCTTTTCTAAATTCTCTGTACTGGCCCCAAAAGGTGGTTCTTTTTCACAGGAGCTTTGCCTAGGTTCTTTACTTTTAGCTTCTGGCCTGCCTCTAGCTGGAAGTCTGTATCACCTTGCAAAACATGACAAATTTTTTTTTTACTTGGCTAGCTAGTTGACTTACAGCTCTTCTTTCCAATTCAGTCCTATTTCTATGCAGTTTTTGAAAAAATATGTAAAAAACAAATAGTGTTCATGTCATTAGGGGAACTGGCTATTTAAAGAAAATTTGTAAAGTAATGATAGTGTGAATTGAATAGTCACTCTGTTTTATGTTGGTAGATGCAGCTTGCTTTCTCCTAAAGAGTATCGCCTCTAATAAAGTACTGTTATAGTCTTGTACAAGATGTTTAAGATTCTAGAGAAACTTCTCCCAATGCAGCTACACTGCCTGCCTGTTGGTATAAATCAGTCAATTCATTGTCCTTAGAGTTTAAGTATCTTAGACCTAGAAGTTGAGGGAGTTACTCAAAGTCACAGTGCTGATAGGATAGAAAATGTTCTAAGAATTCAGAGTTATTGGGTGAAAACAGTTTTAGTAAGACATTAATTGTGTTTTCACAATTAAGACTCTGTTCCATCATCAGTGTTAATCAGTGAATGTCTGAGACTTGGGAAATGCACAGCCTTATTATAGGATCTTTTCCTTATCTTGGAAAGTAAGCCAAAGTATACATATCTTCCTTTCTCAATTGATCTTGTGTTTTTTTTGTTGTTGTTTGCTGAGGAAGATTCGCTCTGAGTGAACATCTGTTGCCAATCTTCCTCTTTTTTTTTTTTGCTTGAGGAAGATTCACCCTGAGCTAACATCTGTGCAGGCTTCCTCTGTCTTGTATGTAGGTCACTGCCACAGCATGGCCACCAACAAGTGGTGTAGGTCCATGCCCAGGAACCGAACCTGGGCCACCGAAGTAGAGCATGCTGAACTTAACCACTAGGCCACTGGGCCAGCCCCCTCAATTGATCTTTTAAAATGAATATGGTGATGCTGATAGATAGCTGTAGACAGATATACATAGATAGGACAGGTTTTTCCAGGATACCAATACAAAAAAGTTAGGACATCCTAAAGGGAAAAAATGTTTACCATAATTTGAGGGTCAATGTGTGTCTATTATTCTTTTAATGTGGATTTACAAAGAGAAAGAGATAAAGAAGAGTATGGAAAGAATAAGTAAATAGGAGGTAAATGACGTCAGCAAATCCACTTGGGAGTAAAGGAGGAAGGAAAAAGGTAACGATATATCAGAGAAACTGATTAATGATGAATGATGCCATTCTCTGGGTGTTAAAGGTGTACTGTGTATGGGAAATGCTATAGTAGGTCCTGGCTTCGTGCTGCTTGCTGTTTGGGGTACTCTCCCTGACTTCTGTCCTGCAACTGAATATATGAATCTTGCCCATAGCTTCCATGGGACTAAATGAAGAGCAGAAAGAATTTCAGAAAGTGGCCTTTGACTTTGCCACCCGGGAGATGGCTCCAAATATGGCAGAGTGGGACCAGAAGGTAGGAATTTTCCTTGTGGCTAGATGTTCCAACGAATGCCTCCTGCAGTGAGCCTTATCTTCATCTCCTTATAATCCTGAGTGCTTACTCTCCACTTAACAACTCCTACTGCAAACGAGATTACTGATGATGACACAGTTCCTTTCCTAGAGTCTATCCTCCTCCTCTTGTAGATACCATTTTTTTTTAATTGCACAAAGATTTGGACACTCTTAAAACCAAGGTAGTTCTAGTGATAATAAAAAGAAACTTTAATGCCAGAAAAACCAGTCCCTATAGAATGCATTTTAGCTGATACTACTGGATAGATGACAAATAGGCATTTTAAGTTAAGAAAATTCCTAATTCTCCCAAATGCAAACATCTTAATCCCTCATTGTGCCCTCTAAAGAAAAGTTCATCTGTGACTCACTTACTGGTAACCCTGCTCCCTTTTGTACATAGGAGCTGTTCCCAGTGGACATGATGCGGAAGGCAGCCCAGCTAGGCTTTGGGGGCGTCTACATACGAACAGACATAGGTGGGTCTGGACTGTCACGGCTCGATGCCTCTGTCATCTTTGAAGCCTTGGCTACTGGCTGCACCAGCACCACAGCCTATATAAGCATTCACAAGTGAGTGTCCAAGTCTGAAAACACAAGTAAGTGCTCACATGGGTTGACTGGGAAATTTCAGATAAATAGGGAAAAGGTTTACCTTTTCGGGTTGATTGCCCTTGAAGATCTAGACTGTTAAAAGCTCACACTGGGTCTGCTGCTGCTCGTCGGACTTGAATCCGTCATCTTGTACATTGCTTAGAGAATCAGGTCCACCAGCCTTCTCCCAAATCCTAGACTGAGCTGGTACGAAACAGACTTCTCCAGTAGAGTGGTCAGGGCCCTGTTCCCCTTTTCCTCAACCCAAAGATGAAACTGCCAAGAGTTTGGGAATGTACATGTAATTTTTTGATTTTTAGGGAGCTCAGTTAATCTAACTAGAAATAACATGAACACCCAAGTGAGAAATATCTCGGCCCTTGTTATCTCTGGATAGTACATGTTCCAGGGATATGTTTTAATCCAGGCCTTTCCTTTAAAGTTGAATCTTCTCACGTCTGACTTTTCCCCTCCTGCTCTCTCTTCTGCTTCACTCTACTTTGCTGCCTTTGTTCTCTTTCCCCATCCCGTCCCCCTCAAATTTCTTTTTCTTTTCCATCTTTATCTCTGTCATTGTCTTTTCTTCTTGGTGTACCTGTCAGCATGTGTGCCTGGATGATTGATACCTTTGGAAACGAAGAACAGAGGCACAAATTTTGCCCACCACTCTGTACCATGGAGAAGTTTGCTTCCTACTGCCTCACTGAGCCAGGTGGGTTTGCCATACTGCAGGCGAGATGTAGCAAGAGATGTTAGTCAAGTGAAATCATTGAGTACTCCTTCTTAGCCCATTGGCACATATAACCATGTTTACCAAGAAGTTTGGTCACAGAGTAGCAGATTCCCACGACCTGATGTCACAAGACTAAGAGGCTTCCAGAGGCAGAGTCCAGGCTGCAGATCGGACTTCCTTGTAGGAGGCTTCCCACAAGCTAGTGTGATAAGAAATGGAAAATGGTGGCATCGCTGTATGCAGTTTTCACCAAGTACAGAGAGTTCCTTTGACTGTCTGGATTTTGAAGTATCAAACTCTGAGCTGTTTGTTATAAGGGACGGTTTACTAGGAGAAGGCACCTGGGGCTCCCTGAACTTCACTGACTTTCTCCCTCACTCTCCACGTCCTCTCTGACCCCTGCCTTAGGAAGTGGGAGTGATGCTGCCTCCCTTTTGACCTCAGCTAAACGACAAGGAGATCATTACATCCTCAATGGCTCCAAGGTACAGCATGTTCTCCTCCCAGAACAACTTAGAGATTGTTCCCAGTCCTGTGGACGTCACCTGGATCCTTGTCGTCTGCGAGTTAATGTCCCATCAGATTTGTGCATGTTGGGAAGGGAACCTCTGACCCACTTCCCTTTGTTCACCTTCACTGTTTCTCTCTCTTCTCGTCTGATTCCAGATCAATTCGTTCACTTTTGTCTATCCTTTTCACAGTCTCATGAGCTAGATCCCTGGTTCCCCAGTCAGTGCAGGTTCTTTTTACCCCTCGTTAGTTTCTCTGTCCCATTAGACCTCTGAGTGTCCTATTGTTGGGAGGACCCAGTTGTCTTGCCAAATGTTAGGCGTGGAGACTCATATGCTCCCTGATCCCTGTGCACCCCTCTCAACCCCACAGGCCTTCATCAGTGGTGCTGGTGAGTCAGACATCTATGTAGTCATGTGCCGAACAGGAAAGCCAGGCCCCAAAGGCATCTCGTGCATAGTTGTTGAGAAGGGGACCCCTGGCCTCAGCTTTGGCAAGAAGGAAAAAAAGGTGAGTGGCTGTTGGCTGGGAAGCAGTTCTGGCCATCTGCCAGACCAGCCTCTGCTCTATTTCAGGAAAGAGGTTCGTATGCTTGCTAGCTTACTGTAGAGGCAGTTTCTCTATTAGGATTTTGACAGGAACGTATAGAATAGAATAGGCCATTGTTAAAGAAACACTAGGCCAGTGGCAAAAGTGGCAGAGTTTGCCAGTAAGTTCCATGAGCTCCCTGTTGTTTGAGTGTGAGAGATTTCTCTGTCATCTTTTCTGCCTTCACTTTTCGCCCGTATTTCTTATCTGGCTTCTTGTATTGGTGCACTCTGTTATCCCAGGAAGAATAGAAGATCTGGTGTTGACTAGAAGTCTCAGGAATGAAAAGTATATGGGCCACTTTTCTTCTTTAAATAAAAATAAAGTAAAACTTGTTGGAGATGATTGTGGGTTTTTCAGTAAAGTAAGAGGGAGAGTGTTTCCAGAGGTGCCTTGAGAAGACATGTCTAGGATTAAGAAATGCCATAGCCAGGCCATGGACAGTAGAACTGTGCTTACGTGACTACAGCTAGTGATGAGGGTCAGACACGTGCAGATTTGTGAGGCCACATGGCTGGGACAAGCATCTACCTTCATATGGACTGTTACATTCAGATCTTCTGGGGAGAAGTCGGGTAACAAAATGACCCCTAAATATGCTTCTCCTCTCATAGCTCCTAGGGTTTCCATATTTCCCTTCATGACGCTTCCTAATCCTTTATAACTGCCAAGGAGTTATGAGTTTTAGTGCCCTTCTCTTTTAGAGCATAGCAGGTGTATACTAGATAACTACTGTGTGCAAAGCCTATGCTAGCTCCTTGGGTGGGATACAAAAGTTCCTCCTAGCCTTGTTTGAGATTAAAAGACATATGCTGTCTTATCTGTGTAATATATATAAGCTATGTATGTGATATATAAGATGTGTAGCTATAGGATTTCTTATCCTAGGAATGTCTGTTTTGAGTTATAAGACACAGACTGACTTATGTAGTCTGACACATAATTTTACAGGATCCAGTTATACTGATTCAGGTATTTGTGCTTATAAAGATAGTGATGATTGTTTCAACACACGTAATATCCGCCTTAATATTTGTGGTATCTGTTGACAGAATACCAAAGCTATCAAGTTTAGTGCTTGGGGAAAAATTGCAAATAAGTTCCGTAAACAAAAAAGTGTATCTTTTTTTCACTTCATTTTCTGTTTCTCTTCTTTTGCTTTTAAGCATATATATTTCCTTTCATTTCTTTTTTTGTTTATTTGTTTTCTTTTTTATTATTCTGCTTTATATATTTCTTAATGTAAGGGAAATTTGGAAAGACAGCTCTTTATTCATTCCACAGCTAGCAAGTGCCCACTGTGTGGAGGCACTTTTCTGAGGAGTAGGGGTAGAGCGGTGAACAGGACAGACATGCTCTGCCCTTGTGAAAGTGACATTTTAGTAAGCAGGAACAGACAACAGACATATGTGTAAACAAGGTACTTTCCATTATTGCTCAGTGCTGGGAAGGAAATAAAGCAGGGTGATGGGACACTGACTGAGGAGAGCTTGTTTAGACAGGGATGGACCTCTGAGGTCATGACATATGAGATGAGATCTGAAGTATTGGAAGGAGCCAACTGTGAGAAGCATTCTGTGCAGAGATAACAGTAGATACAAGGGCCTGAGATGGGAGTAAGATTAGCCTATTTGAGGAACCAAAAAAAGTTGAGTATGGCCCAAGGTTGGTGAGCAAAGAAGGGAATGGTGTGAGATGAAGGTAGGGAGAGGTAGGCAGGGCCTTGTAGGCCGGGGTGAGGAGTCACCAACTGACCCCTATGGTTGATATGGCTGTTCTGATAACATGAGCAGCTGGCCTTTCTCTCTCCCTGCTCCATGGTGATTTATCCAACAAGCATGTGCTTTGACTTGGCATATTTAACACATTATATAGCTGAGAGCTTGAAAACACCAGTTGTGCATTGACTTTATGGGAGAGTAATGAGTGTTTTCTTCAGCTTGGATTTAATTGTTAAAAGATTTTGTATGAAAGAATGAGTTTTTTCAAGGGAAGGGTAAAAGTGATGACTCTTGGAAGAGAATGTGAAGGTATTATGTGGAACAGAAGATAAGACTGATAGAAGGTCCAGGGGTGCAGGGCCTTCAGAAAGGGAGAGGGGTCACCTGTTCTCACTGGCTGCGGCTCCCCAGGGGCTCTGATAGGATTAGGAAAGGAATTCTCTGCGTAGGGGAAGAAGGTATATGTTTTCACAGTAAGGAGTTAGAAGGTAAGAGGTAGCAGCTATTTGTATTTGGTTTTTTATAATTAGATATTGTTAAGGTCAGAACTTTGTGGTCCATTCTTGGTTTCAGGTGTTTATGTTCTTGTTGGGGAGACAAGGTCACAGGTAACCACCATACAGGCCAGTATCTCTCGGAAGGTTTCAGACTTGTGGTAGAGAGTATGGGAACTTAGAAGAGAACAAGACCAGAGTTGGCTCAAGTGACCAGGAAGGCCTTAGGAGGTTTCATTTAAGCTAGAATTTGATGGAGGTTGGGGATAGGAGTATTCCCACGGGAGGGAGCAGAATAAGCAAAAGTATGGGTTTAACAAACCCAGCTGCAGTGTGCAGACCAGTTTCACTGGAGTTGAGAATACTTATAGGTGACTGATACAAGAGAAGGCTGGGAATGAAGGATTGGGCCAAATTTTAGAAGACCTTGAATAAAAGGCTAAGGAATAAAATTTATCTTACCAACAAAAGGGAGCTATTTAATGTTCTTATATAAGGAACTGATGGTGATGTGAAGGCGTAGTGTCTTCAGAGCTATAAGGGAACTGGGAGATTTTATATAGTCTTGTGGTTTTCAAAATCTGCCTCACCAAGCCTTAAAGTTCTTTGAAGCCTTGGCGTACCTGGAAGAAGAGATGAAGGGGATCAAGTAGTGAGGGCCTTAATCTATTTATACATGAAACATCTGAATAAGATTTTATTTGAAGAAAGTGGCTCTGCTGGCTTTCTAGTCCAACTCCCTTATATAAGGGAAAACTGAGCCCACAAAGAAGCCACGTGATTTGTCCAAAGATGCAGAATACAGCTAGTTAGTTGCGTGACACCGACTACATCTTAGGCATTCAGAATTTTCTCTGGGCTTCTGACTGACATATTCAAGGATGTCCTGCTAAATCAGCTCTCTGGGAAAAACAAAACCCAAAAACTCGCATAGGTAGAGTTTGGCAATTTCTGTAGGATAAATACTCCCACTGTGGCTGATTTCAAACCACTTAAGAAAAGATGTGCATAATTGGCTCTTGTGAGCTGGTACCAGCACATCACTGGATCTCTCTGCACCTAAATGCTTGACTTGATGTTGCCAGCACAATGAATGTTATTCATGAATGATAACGTCTTAGAGAACACTAAGCTTCTAAAAGGAGAAGAGTGGTTATTGTTAATAATAATCTTTATGTTGTCTTTATATATAAGGACAAATAATCCAAATAATCCTTATGTTGTCTATGTTTTTTAAAAAGAATATACTCATAGAGGCACTAAAAATGAGGATAGTCCTGCCCCAATTCTAAAAGAAATTGTGAGGAATGTTTGTGGATAGGTTAGTCTGGTAGAGTAGACATTAACAAGTAGATGCTTTTAATATATTGAAAAATGTTTGGCTGAGAAAAAATTTGTGGGAGTTGATAGGTATTTAAGTCTGAACTTTTAATTTAAGCTCATTTTAAGTTCTCAAGGCTCTAAGTCCCAGGATAATGGAAGCTGTACTTCATAGGCTTTTGTCAACAGAGAACGCTGACCTGAGTGGTCAGTTGTCAGGCAGCCGTATAGTCCCTGATTTTTGCCAGGTGGGGTGGAACTCACAGCCAACCCGAGCCGTGATCTTTGAAGACTGTGCTGTCCCCGTGGCCAACAGAATTGGGGACGAGGGGCAGGGCTTCCTCATTGCTGTGAAAGGACTGAACGGAGGGAGGATCAATGTTGGTGAGAACACAGAAGGATGGGTAGGGAGGTAGCGGGCTGGGGTAGGCAGCACTGTCCTTCTGGCTCAGATGAGTGTTGGCACTCTCCCTCTCCAGCGTCCTGCTCTCTAGGGGCTGCTCATGCTTCAGTCCTCCTCACCCGAGACCACCTCAACATTCGGAAGCAGTTTGGAGAACCTCTGGCCAGTAAACAGGTAACTGCCCTGGTGTCTCTGCATTTGCTTTCCACTCTGCACGAGACCTGCTCTGTGGCCCACATTCTCTAGGAGAAGGAGGCCATGATGTGCCATGTGAACTTCTGCCTCCATCCCAGCCAGGGCTTGTGCTCTAGTTCTATCAATAATCTTTTTAAGGAGGTAATAATATGGAAGTGCAGGGCAAGTGATGTGGGCTTGGAACTTAATAAGGCAGTACATTTTCTCTGTAGGAGAGGCAGGAGCCTTTGAAGCTTGGGGTCACTTAGAAAAGGAGCCTCATTAGAGCTGTCTTGTAGAGGCCCAGGTCAGGTGCTGCTCTAAGCCCGTCTGTCTTGTCTGGCTCTCTTCTCCCCTGTTGCGACAGTACCTGCAATTCAAGCTGGCTGATATGGCAACAAGGCTGGTGGCCTCCCGCCTGATGATCCGCAGTGCAGCAGTGGCTCTGCAGGAGGAGAGGGAAGATGCAGTGGCCCTGTGCTCCATGGCCAAGCTCTTTGCTACGGACGAATGCTTTGCTGTAAGTGATGATGCCCTCTGGTTCTCCTGGGTGGACAGGGAGCAGCTGCCAGGTCCAGGGATGTTGACAGCCCTAAGTCAACTCCTTGGGTGCTGCAGGTACTGCCTTGGGGCTTAAGGACATAATGTAACTGCTGAGACGCCTGCACGGGAGCCGTCGGCAGTGGCCCTTTCCCCACCCCCTGCTGTGCATGCTTCATCTCTCACTGTTGTTTGGCTGTGCTCTAGATGAGACGCTGCCTTTGAAAGAAGGTTCAGAGCAGCCCAGTGCTGCTTGCTCAAATGTAGCACTCTGCGGTGTTTCAAATGTCAGAGGGAAAGCCATTTCCACATGGAGACTGCATTGCCACCAGATGGCACCTTAGCTTCATATAATCCCAACAAGGCTAGGCAGCTTCTCCCCTACAGATAATAGCAAGAAAGACAGAGGTCTCTGAGTTGCCTGTCTGGTGGGAACTGACAGGGTCAGGAGGTGAACCTCCCTTGTTGTCTCTGACCGCACAGACTATGGAGCCCTCTTTGGGCTTGGCTGGTTATCTGTAGGTTATTCTTCCTTGCATTAGTTTACAGCAGGCTGCCACTTCGGGGGCTGGAGTGGAAAGAGAAGCCACTTGTTGCACAGTCTTCCTGAAATCGAGGATGTCTAATCCCTGTCTCCCTGCAGATCTGCAACCAGGCTTTACAGATGCATGGAGGCTACGGCTACTTAAAGGACTATGCTGTTCAGCAGTATGTGCGGGACTCCAGGGTCCATCAAATCCTAGAAGGTAGAAGTTGCCAGAGGTTATTCTCTTCCTTTCAGAACGGTACAGGATCACCACTTTCCCCAGCCTGTCTCTGTGCTGACTGGTTCTCAGGGTTCAACCAGGCCCTGTCTGTCTTTCTGCTTCCTCCTTCCTCCTGAGCCTGCTCTGGAAGTGCCTCTTGGTGCCATACAAAGAGCACTAGCCTGGGAGTCAGGAGGCTGTGCTTTGTCACCGTGCGTAGGTCACAGAATCACTGTTTCTGCTCTTTTTCTTTGTAAATTTTAGAGAAGGCTCAAACTGAGATAATATATGAGAAAACGTTTTGAAAGCTACAAACCCTTCTTTGCTCTTTTAAAGTACTTGGTCCTCAGGGATCCCAGAACTTGTGTACAGTAATTTACAGGGCAAGTGTGATCCCGTTTGATCACCAGCAGCCACTGTAAATTGATTATCAACCAGACAGTCTAAAAGATATCTCTATCAGTATTGCTAATGGATTTTTCAGTAAAATAAATCATCAATATGTGGATATCTTCTTGGTAATCACAGACGTTCAGGCTGGGAAATGTGCAAGCTGTTGGAGTCAGGCTCAGAGCAAGGCCTTCTCCTCTCCATGCCAGTGCATAAGTCTTCAAATACACGGCTCTTGTCCCGGTCAGTGTAGGCAGCCGGAGTTGTTACACTGGAGGAAAAGCAGATGGGGCAGGGCTTGTCTAAGTGACTTTCCGTGAGGTAATGGGGGGTGCTCTCACGGGGCGTGGGAGAAACCTGGGAGCATCCTTCTCAAACCTGAGTAGTATCAGAATTACCTGAAGGACTTGTGAAAACAGATCACTGGGCCTACCCCAGTGTTTCTGACTCAGCGGGTCTCAGGTAGGCCTGAGAATTTGCATCTCTAACAAGTTTTCAATGAAGCTGCTGCTACGTGTCTGGGAACCACACTCTGAGACCCATTGCTCTGGTGTTATGTCCAGATCACAGGCTTCTAAAGGTTAGAGGCTGCTTTCTGCTGCAAACCAGCAGAAACGCCCTAAAGGGTGTTTATGAGCACCATTACTGGGCTCCAGTTAAATTCCCCAAGTCTTGTTCCTTCTATTACTCCTGCAGTTACTTCCTCACCCAGCCTTTATGAGTGCAGGAAGCTTCACCTGCATTCTCACTCTGTCTGTTAACCTTGTTAGAATAAATGGGAAAAGCCAGATACATGTATTTCAGGCCACACTGTCATCCACTTACAGAAAAATTTGGGCACTGGTCTTTATCACTTTGTTTCCTCATGGACTTTGTTATTGGATAAATCTGAAATTTTAGATTTGGCTTTATTTGAGATGTGTGATTACTCGTTCCTCACGGGCGTACATATTTCTTATTGCATAAAGGCCACTGTAAAAATGAAGCAAGCACTTGACCCCTCCTTTCAGGGAAAATGTTTTTGTTTTAAAAGAATTCAGATTTCTGATTACCAAAGAAATTGGTATATTTATTGTTGAAACTTACAAAATATAGGAAAAGTTAAAAAAAAAAAACACTCATGTTTCTATATCCAGAATTAATATTTTGGACTTCTATTATATTTAAGTTCAAAATATCTCCTTTTGGACTTTTTCTGTAGTTTTTTAGTTACTTTTTTAAATAGAAGTATAATATATATACTGTTTTATGTTTTGCCTTTTTATTTCTTTTTTACCTAATATAAGCATTTTTACCATCAGGAGAGGTTTTTTTAAAAGAGCATTTATTCCTCGCTTCCTGACATTTTTCTGTATCTTGGAGAGAAGTCTGTGATAATCCCGTCCCTTGCAGGGCTAACAGCAACAGGGGTAGTTTACATCCATGACTGCCCTGGACGAGGCATGGAGGACCCTGGTCAGAGCTTTACCGAGCTCTCAGACTTTGCTGCTACTAAACCCTTCATTCTTTCTCCCCCTTGCAGGTAGCAATGAAGTGATGAGGATGCTGATCTCTCGAAGCCTGCTTCAGGAGTAGCACCCACACTTGATGGTCTGGGATGATGTTTAATGTGCACCTCCAGTCAGTATTGAGTGGTTCCCTGTGGACTATTCAGTTACCGATGAGTCACAGATTAGATTGAAGGGCCGACCTCTTCCAGGTGACCTGTTCCCTCTGTGTGCTGCCAACAGAGTCCTCAGCAGAACTAGAGGAGATGCCCTTGTTGGGAATGTCACAAGAAGATGTGCTACCCTGTTTTCCTAATGCAGAAAGGTGACCAAAGAAGATTCACTACCAAACCAGAATCCTTTCTTGGATCCACATTGTCTTGATTTGTTACCAGCATTTTGCTGGTTCACCACATTTCTCTTCCAGGGATCTGGGCACTTGCATTGAGGGTTTTTCCTTATTATAAAGCAAAGGTGTGTGGGGAAGGAGAATTGGAGAGAAAATGTCCTCTTGTCTTTTTCTGTCCTCTGAACCTCAGCCAGAGATGCAGAAGGTTTCTGTGGGTCACAATCCTCTGGATGTAAATCATGATAAAATGAGTGTTTGGGAAACTCGTCCCCTAAGCTGTGATTTAGAGTGTGTCTGCACTTCTGGACTGCCTGAAGATCAGAAGCTGAGACTATTTGGAGCTTTGAATATTTGTTGTTATTTTCCTTTTTACAAGCATGTGATCTAGGAATGCTATTGAAAGTTTCTATAGCCCTTCCTGATAAGTACTTTTAGTGTATTTTTTTCTGAGTTTTTGTTTTCTTTTTTGAATGTTTTTAATCACTACATTGATAAATAAAATCTGCCTCTCTCTCTGCTGTCTCCAGTTCTACTAAAGTTGGTTTTTATTTTATCTTTCTAACTAAGCCTTTACCACTTTTTTTTTAAATTTTACTATATTTAATTAAACATATAACTAGATTTTGGAATAATATTCAAAGATCTCTCCTTGATTAAATTGGCTTTTAAAAAACAGGCCCCTTAAATTACTAATAGCTTTGCAAACTAAGCATTGTTTATGATTTATAAAAATAGATTTAAAGTAGTATTCAAAGATGGAGACTTTTTGGAAAACCCTGTAATAAATAATCATTACATTACTCCATCCCCTCTTCTCTGTAGAAAAATATATCCGAGATATATATATATATTTTTTCCTGTGAGGAAGATCAGCCCTGAGCTAACATCCATGCTAATGCTCCTCTTTTTGCTGAGGAAGACTGGCTCTGAGCTAACATCTATTGCCAATCCTCCTCCTTTTTTTTTCCCCAAAGCCCCAGTGGATAGTTGTATGTCTTAGTTGCACATCCTTCTAGTTGCTGTTTGTGGGGACACGGCCTCAGCATGGCCGAACAAGCGGTGCGTTGGTGCGCACCTGGGATCCGAACCTGGGCCGCCAGTAGCGGAGCGCGCGCACTTAACCGCTAAGCCACGGGGCAGGCCCCAAGATATTTTGTTAATTACAAGCCAGTATTTAGAAAGACCAAAATAGGCATCTTTAGCTACAACAAATATTTTCTTTTTTGAATGCATACTCGATGTGCTGTGCTGGGCACTGCAGAGGGACAGGGTGTGAGTGTACTGCAAAGTTTATGTTTCTGCCTTCAAAGGCCTAATTTATTGCTATCGTGCAAGGTAATGATAGGTCTTTAGATGAGAGTGATCTGGCATAAGTGATAAAGTAGGAAGAGATTCGTGGAGAAGGTAGGAATTCAAATTAGGCTTTTATGAAAATGTATAATATTTAAAGAGAACCAAGAAAGTTTCAGAGAGAAAACCAGGATCGGGAAAAGTGCAGAATTTGTGTGGGAGCTGTTTACACTTTTGTTTAATTGTGCTTTGGGGTTGGCATGGGGCAGAAAGAAAATGTAAGTTGAATCTGGATGGAGACTTATGAAAGCCAAGGTTTGGGTTTTATTTAATAAGCAATGGAGAGCCATTGAAGGTATTTAATGAAGAAGGTGATGAGATTAATCCATTCATAAGAACATTTCGGAATGCGTATGCAGGATGAATATGAGTGAGGAAAGATAGAAGGTAAGGCATGCCCAGTCAGTAGGTTCTTGGAGCAGTCGAGGCATGAGGCAATTTGAGGCTGAACTTGGAAGATCAAAGGAAAGAGTAGACGTGAGCAAACAGACCTGTGCTTACAATGTCCGCCGTGGAACATGCAAGGCCTCCCAGGAATTGGGCTGCTGTCTGGCATTCCAGTTATGAGAGGCTCCTGTTCTGACCTGAAGCGTTAAGTTGATGTCTTACTATTAGTGCCCCTCGTAAGAGAAGAGGTTGATGAGATGCTAGTTATTAAAAAGGCATTTCACACTATCACCCTCCGTTACTATTCAGCGAGTTCAGTTTCCCAGCAGCCTGGCAAGGGATTTGACCCCTGTAGCAAGAACATAGTGAACTTGAAGCTGATCTCTGTCAGTGTTCATTTGGCTGTCCCATAAATGAAACCAAAAGAAGCATAATAGACATGACTTAAGGGAAACCTCTGTTCCTGGTGCTATATTAGGTGCAGGATGTATACAGATAATCAGATACAATTTAGATGGACCTTATAGGCTGAGCAGGCTAGGAACTAGGAAATTTTGATTGCAGTATGTGGTAGCGAGAACAAAGATGTACACAGAGTGCTCTGGGGCACAAGCAGTGAGCAGTCTGGTGATCATAACATGATGACGTCAGCCAAAATGGGATTTCCAAATTGTCTGAACTCTTCAATATCTCTTTAAACTACCTCCCATTATAATACTATTACAGCGGAGGGGGAAATCTCATTGCTCTAATTAGATATATATTTAAACAGAAGAATGTTTAGGTCATCTATTTTAAAATTCTCTCTTCATCCTTTATAGATTTGATACATTACAAATACCTTATTTACTTATTTGTTTTAGGGCTTCTCTGGTTATACTTTTATTTTAAAAACACTAGGACTTCTCCAAAGCACTGTCCTGTAAATTATCTCATATCTCTCTCTTGATTTTCACAAAGTGCCTATTCATTCCTTGCATGACTAGGCACTCAAGAGATAGTTGTTAAATTGATTTGGGTTGAACTGAGTAACAGCCCTGGTGAAAACAACAACTATCAATCCTGCTGTTAGACTGAGACTGGGCTCTGGATTCAGACTTTTGTATCCAGATTTGACTGCCAGCTTTGCCACTAACTGTGACTGTAAGCAAAATCACTTAGACTCTTTGCCTGTTTCCTCATGTGTAAATTGGAGATAATAAAGGTTCCTATCTCATAGGATAGTTGGTGAATCAGGTGCAAGATTCCACATAAAGGGCTCAGAACAGAGTACATTAAGCACCCTCAAATAATTAGTATTATTAACCTCATTTTATAGATGCACATAGTGAACTATAGAGAGATTAAGTGCCTTGCTCAAACTTACATGGGTGGCAGCCTGAACTTTTAAGACACATCTTTTCCAAGAACCTTTAAAATATTTAAGATCATGACTGGTAGTCAATTAGTGCTGAATATCAAATGTTTCTGATCTGCCTCTCTTCTAGGTAAATGGCAGGATTGTGTTTCCCTTTTGCCAACTTTACAAAAACATAGAAGCACATAAACACATTGCTAAGGTTTCTCCCAGGATCTTAGGAGGGGCCCAGAGCTTGAGTTTCATTAGCTTCACAGTAAATTTCCCATTGTCCATCCTCTTTGCTTTATCTGAACATTTCCATATGCATTCTTCTTACCCAAAATTTGTTTTCTTTTTGGCACTAGAAAGGCCTGTTATTCCTGGAAATTATGATCAGCCAAACACCATGTGAATGAATGCTCTCCCTGTCAGTGTGGACGGGAAGGTTGATGCCGCAGTGGTATGATAAACAGACCAGAGCAGCGGGGGTTCCTGCATCCCCACTTGAGCAGTTCTCAAAGAGTAACCCACTGGAAGGAAAAGAACGGGGACCCAAAAGGCCAGGGAATAGAGTGGGAGACCCAACTGACAAGTCTTTCCAACTGAAAATTGGATCCCAGACACTTGGTGACCTGTGGCAAGTAGTAGATGAAAAGGGAAAGAATGAACCAGGAGAGACAGACTGTTCTTTCATTGCTTAGAATGGAGCAAAATTCGTCCCTACTAGCAGAGCCCTAAAAGCTGCTTCCACCCGCTCCAGGCTGAATCAGATTTCTCTGTCTCATTTCTTTGCAAACAGGGGTAAGCTATTTGTGCACCCAGTTCCTTTTACTTTTTTCTCCTGGCTACTTGTCTCTTTTCAGCCAGTCTCTTGATCCATAGCCCAGGACATTCTGGATCTGGTGGGAATATTAGAATGCTCACCTCCCATCACCACAAACAGAAAGGAATCCTAGCGCTGGTGAGGCATTTTTAATCCTCACAGAACAGAATGAGGGGTTGCCGGTTCTCTTCATGCCAACAGAGCAGCAAGGGTATCTCGAGCCATTGTGCTTTGGAAAAGTGGGGCCTGTGATTTATTTCCAGTGCAATTCTACTCAGTGTTCGGTTCTCCCCTGGTCCAACTTTAATATGGGCATTACAGTTTTCTCAAATTTTTGTAAAGATCTATATAAAAAATACTCCAAGACAGTCCACTGGTTACCTTCCCCAACCTTCACCTGGATTAAGGCCCTGAGCCGCACACACAATTCTGGCCTTTCCACAGAAAATATGGAAGTATCATTGTTTTCCATTTTGTCTATAAATCAGTCTGTGGGCTTAATGGGCGTAAGAGTCTTCCACCAGACTTTAAGGTTGTCAGAGTCAGAAATAGATCTGATTCATCTCTTTATCCTTGGTGCCTTCTGGCATATAGTAGGAACTCCATGTTTATTGAACAAATAGAGAAAGACTGGGAAAAAGCCATCATCACCACTGGTGAAACTAATAGTAGCTGCTGGCAAATCCCATGCAGGATCAGGCAGGACACGTCATGGAAAGTCAACTGACTAGACACACAAGAACTGGGATGGGCCTCCAGGAAGTACAGTGAGTGAAAAGGCAAACTCAGAAGGTTGTGTACTGTGTGATCCCATTTACACAGTATTCTTGAAATAGTGCCATTATAGAGATGAAAAAATGTTAGTGGTTGCCAGGGATTATGTTGGGGAAGGGGAAGAGTGTCTATAAAGGGGTAGCATTAGGAGATTGTGGTGAGGGAACAGTTCTGCATCGGGATTGTGGTGGTGGCCACATGAAGCCACAAATGTGATACAATTGCGTAGAACTGTACACAGACACATGCAAATGAGTGCATATATAACTGGTGAAATCTGAATAAGCCCCGTGGATTGCACCAATGGCAACTTCATGCTACTGATACTGTACACTATACAAGATTCTCATGTTGAGGGAGGAGGGGTGAGGAGTGCACGGGACCTCCATGTACATTTTCTTTACAACTTCCTGTGAATCAGTAATTACTTCAAAATACAAAAATCCTTAGAGTCAACTGGCTGGTGAGACTGCTTCCCAGACCTAGCCTATCTTTTGCCAACTTGGGCTTCCCCGACCCTGGCTGTAGGTGGCAGCCCCCATATGGCCTCCACTCCCTGCACTGCAGTTTACTGAGCTTGCTTAG